CTGCAGCGGCGCGCTGTTCGCATCATAGATGATGATATTCAATATGAACCACTGCAAATGAGCCGAGATATTGTCTCACTCAGTGTATTTTATCGTCTTTATCATGGCGCTGAAGAATTATTCAAAGTACCAAGTCAGCACGTGCTGGTGTTCGTTGTCATCCCCAGACTGTTTGTAAGTGCCGTCTCGTACAAAAAAACGTCACGTACAACCTTGGATCCTTCAAAAGAGGTGTGAAGAGGCTCTTTAGCAGGCCGGCAAGATAGTCGTGGCTGTCGGCAGTAGTTTCGAGTTCTGACAACTACAACTATTATTAGAATGTAATATCACTTCCCATCAAAAGTATTGCAGTCACTTTAAATATATAAATAAATATTAAACAACATTACATACATTGCTCAGAGTATGTGAGACGACGAAGGTAACACAACACCCAGACCCGAGACAATATAGAAAAGTTCATTTTATATATTGACCCGACCGGGAATCGGACCCGGGACCTCAGAGATTGCGACACCTTGAAACTGGCGTGCGAACCACTCGGCTACAAAAATAAAAAGTTCCCCCCTACTACATCATCTTATGTAGTAAATAGATGAGGTGCTCGATAGCGCAATGGTTAGCGCGTTCGATGTACGATGCGGAAGTCAAGTAACCTTCGCAAGACTCGGTCCTAGGATGGGTGTCCAAAAATTTATTATGTCAAGTTCGGACTACATCTGCAGCCGTTAACACCCACCATTGAGGGTGTAGACACCTTTTTTTAATTATATTTTTATTTTATAGATATTCATGAAATATATCTTCTCTCTATCTAATTTCCATATGCGGTTACCTAAAAGAGATCGCTTTTAAGCGATAAGGCCGGCATTTACTCCGCTATCTTTGTATCTTTCTTATATGTTTTCTTTTGGTTATACAATAAAGTTAATTACTTATAACTATAAAAAAACGTATTATTCTATAGTAAGTTAAAACTTGAAAATTATTTTTTAAAATTTCCCACAACAACGCCAACTTCTGTCATGGCGTTGCTATGACGCTCAGTGGCGTAGTGGATAAGCGCTGCGGCAATCGTAGTCGTTAAGCAACTTTCGCAAGGGTCGGTCACAGGATGGGTGAAAAAATTATTATTTCGATCTACAACCCACACCATGGCACAGAGTATTGTATTGTTTTTTCTGTTCTTTTTTCATGTTCATTTTATTATTAGTATTATTATTTTTTTTAAGTTGTATTATTGTGTACGTGATGTGTGTTGTCTAAATAAATGGTTTCTATTCTATTCTACTTCTTGCTTCGGAAGGCACGTTAAGCCGTTGGTCCCGGCTGTATTTGCAGTCGTAAGGGTATTAACGACTGGGCCAGCGTCCAATCCGCACTGGGCCAGCGTGGAGGGTCATGGCCCATCCTCCTTAACAATCCATAAAGAAGACTTGAGCCCCTGCAGTGGGGACGTAAAAGGGCTGGTAATGATGATGATGATGACCTTTAAATCATGTCCAAGTCCATTTCAACAACTTTTCACTATTCACGCGGACATCGTCAGTCACATAAATAGCACGAATGTGATCCGTATAATGTACGCGTTCACGAGTCACAGGACTAAAAAAGCTTATTCAATTTTATTTGATTTGATTGTGTCCCAAATTTGAGAGTGGAACCCTGCAAAAGTCACTGTTGATTTCGAAGAAGGCACAATGAAAGCGTTGCAAAAAATGAATGTTACAATCAAAGGCTGCTACTACCATTACATGAACAGCTTGTGGCGCAAGGCGAAAACCCTGGGTTTAAATAAAGACAAACAGAACAGAAGAATAATTTCGCTATGCGCCAACTTAGCATTGCTGCCAGAAAAGTATATTGTTTCAGGACGGGTGTATATTCAAAATAACTTTCTCGGTGAGACGGGTTACTATTCCAAATAATGTAATATAAATTAATTTTCCTAGCTATTCTTTTTTTTATTTGGATTTTATTTTGTTTATTAATATATTTTATGAATTATTTGGATTTTATCTGATTTTGATTTGTTGCTATTTATTATGATTATATTATAGTTTTATGTCCAATTCACTCATTACTATAGATTATCCGTTTCTTGATTATTATATAAATAAAAGGTTAATTATGTGTACATAATATTAAGAATTATGGTCCTGTGTAATGTTTATATATATATATATATGTTTGTATGTCTGTAATTTCTGTATTGTCTTTATATCGAAATAATATGCTACAGAGACCTTCCCCATCAAACAAAAGCTCTAAAAGAAAGAAAATTTATTTACTAAATGACGATCATATTAATGACGCTCAAATGCAATTAACTTGAGGTTGGGCATTTTTCAGAAAAAATGCGCTAGTTAGTTTAAAAAAAATGCCCAACACTAATTTGTTTAACAAAGCGTTTTTAATTTATGTATTACGAAATCATTAAAACACTTAAATATAGTAGGACTATTTTTTAATCTAAATTAGTACGTCGGTCGAAATAATGGTAAAAAAAAAAACATTCTCTCAAGTTCGACGGTCGAACTAATGGGAAAAAAAAATCTCACTAGACCGGTGATCGAACTAATGAATCGAACTAGTGAGAACATATGATTTTAACTGGCTGAAAGAGTATTAAATATTTTCTTTTTCATAATTAAGCAATATTAAAAATATAATAAGCACAAAAGTGTGATTATCGGTAATAGTATATTAGATACTACCACAAAACAAATAATATGTATTTATTTTCGTTTACTATCTACACACGTATTCGTATTGGACCCGCGTAGTAGGTTAATGAACGACCGGACGAACATAGTCCGTTCTTATTATGTGACGAAGACGAGATAAGAGATAAGCGAGCTGACGATGACGAATAAATCACTCACTGAATATTACAGTGGCACAACTCAAAAACCATTATTTCGAGAAAACGCCACAACATTGTGGTGGCATCCCATAGATTAAAGAAAAAATAAAAAACTTAACAATAATAATATATTACAAACGATTTAACTTTTATGCTAAAAATATGATTTTCATAATTATAAATATATTAAATTTTCATAACTTCGGAGAGCGTTTCTCGAAATATGGTTTTTGAGTTGTGCCACTGTACTATTCAGTGAGCGAAATGGCGCTCAAGTATTCAACAAAACCTATCGCAAAACACCACGTATTTCATAAATCAAAATAAAACAACAGTTCATTAATAAATAAGCATTTAATATTAACTAAGTACCATAATTATTTATAACATTCGATTAATACAACAGTGCTTTATACATTTAATTAATAAGATTAAATTTCAGTTGCACAAACGTCCTTTAAGGTTTAATGATACTTTTAAGCTCTAATGAATAAAATTTTTTATCGGTAATGTCGCTTTAAATTAAGGTATTTTTTAATGGACGTTTATGCACCTGACTGTAAGAGCCTAAAAAGAAAATATACAGCCGAATATTTCCAATTCATTAGCGCTGGAAAGACTGAAATGACAGATCATTATCAAACATCTGTTTCCAATTTAAACCTTACTGTGTTGCGTGTGAAGTTCATAATCGACTGGCGAAAAATTGAATTTTTGTCTAAGCAACAATTTTCATATTATATTATAGTTGCCAAAAATAACATAAGATTAAGAAAAAGATATTCACTATTAAATATCAATCCCCTCTCTGAAGACAAAACGATATTTTTCTTGAGCTCGTGCTTTTATAAAAACATATTTACAAAGAAAGAAATAGCATTGTAATTTCATACTTCAACATTAATATTCCAATATTAATTTTAATATTTAATGGGGCGAAATGTTGTTCCATTAATTATTGAGACCTCTATTGCTTCTTTATCTCCAATGTTAAGACTAATTATATGTTCAACCTATGTCCTACAGACTTTGAAAGTTGTATTTATTATTGTGATAATACATATTATTTTGGTAATGACATTATTTATGTAAATGTCATTACTTATGATAAAAAGCTGGCAAGTTTCTTTCGCTTGTTCTTCTTGTCAGCTAAAAGTCGTCCTGAACAAGTGGTAGGGGAAAAAAGTTTTTTGGACGATTCAAAAGTGCTTGTAATAGCCTACTTGAATAAAGATATTTTCATTTCATTTCCTCGGGTTAAAAGTGTCGAGTATTCCCAAAACGGTTGATATGGCCCCTCGCCTACTGGATCTATGAGGGAGGCAAGTGGGGGCACTTGCCTTGGGCGCCAATGTAAGAAGGCACCAAAATCATCATTATATAATACCTACTTTATATTAAAGACTTCCACAATGGAACTCAGATGCTTCAAAAACATGGCGATATAAAATTCGGCCTTGAGGAACGGGGGTAGAGCGCCATACGAAGTTTTTAACCCCGGTATAAAAAAAGAACGTAGATCCGGGCCTGCTTGCCTATTCTATTATTTCATTATCATCAATTAATCTGTAAATATTTCTTTCATATTCATTAATGAGGCTACATAACATTTAACACTAATTATATCCAGTTTAGTCATGAATGTAGCTAATAAAGTTACAATTTACCAAAAATTCTGCTTTATAATAAATAGGCTGATGTTTACAACTAATCTGACATATGCAGAAAAATATTCTAGCTAAGTAACGTAACACTATGGCGGGCCGTATTGCGTAATAACAAAAACGTCGACTTCACATTTTAACAAATGTAGCTAATCATGCGATTTTATGACTAAAAATTTATGTTTATTTCAATTTAAATTTTAGTTTTTCTGCAAAATTGACTATATTTCCACTACCGAAGCTATCATATTTCTTACACGTATCGTTAACTTTCAAATGTTCAAATAAGAGTTTGCCCCAAGAATGAGTTAAAATTTACCCTTATAAATCGACTTATCGACAGTCCCACGCTTTACTGAAACGAAATAAAGAGAGGGGAATATACAGGGGGGGGGGGGGGTTGATAAGGGATATAATATAATTTATTAATGTCATTTATATATCATTATATGGAATAAGTAATATTATTTCTACGCAGCGCACACTGTATGGTCTAGAGGCGCCAATTCTAATTTCACATCGTCTGACTGCAACTCCGATACGATCTCGCGTAATCTGCAAATTAATAAACTTTTAAGTATATACAAAAAAAAAGTATATTTTAATTAACCGAGATAATTCCATAAAACTTATACAAAATCTGATAATGATATAGTTTTCATAGAATAACATTTTAATTTTAAAAAATACTAGCTGTTTTCCCACGACTTCACCCGTGTACAGTAAAAGAATTTCCATGATCGGATCAGTATGTCCGTTGATTACAAACAAACTTCTTCATAATATAAGTAAAGATCAATTCAAAATGATATGATTTCATGATGAACCAATCACTTTTAAGTTTAAGTAGTGCAGAATAAACTATGACGCCACTCCTTAAAAATGTAACTTGTATAATACTAGTCGTTTTCCCGCGACTTCGCGCGAGAAATTATAGCCTATGTCACCCGCGTATAACGTAGCTTCGCATAGGTTAATTATTAAAATCGATCCTATAGTTTCGGAGCTAATTAGATGCAAATAAACATACAAATGTTTACTCTTTATAGTATTACTAGCTTCTGCCAGCGGCTCCGCTCGCGTAGTGCCTAGGGAACGGTTTATTTGTATATCAATTCATATAATGATACGGATATAATTAGAATAACAAATGGAATAGTAAAAAAACGCGTTACTATGGTAACGTTTTAGTTCTATATACAAAATACCACGCCCATTTTCATCCCTTTATTTTCTGTTTTTTCGGGAAAAAACATAACCTATGTCCACCGCGTATGATGTAAATTCCGGTGGATGAAGGAATTTTTAAAATCGATCCAGTACTTCCTTAGCCTATTCGAGGCAAACAAACAAACGAACAATGACGTTAAATTATTAGATACGTTATAGCCTACATTATTGCGTTTCAAAACAGCGTTAAGTTTATTGTGGTAACGTAACATTATAATACAATCACAAAGGGAACAAAGAAATCAAAAATATTTGTCTCTCTATCAGAATCTTCAGCATACCTCTTGTTAGAACGAGATAAACATACTTGCATAGTTTTACGCGACAACTGCTGCATTCTCATAGAATACGATGTACGAAAAAATGGCCGCGTTCACTGACGTTTTATTTTTTTTAATAAAAAACGAGTAAATACTGTATGTTCTATGTTTACTTTTTTCTTTTCTCATTGTCAATGTGTAATTTGTGCATTGTTTAAACATGAAGGCATTTTTTCTACATCTTTTCAGAGAAAATTACGAATGACAATGAAATTAGCCACAAGTCACAACGCTTGCTGAAACGTGACTAAAGTGAAACTCGGGCGATTGCCTTGCTTTCTCGGTGTCAATGTTATGAGCAGATGACCCATCTAAACTTTTAAATACATCATTATGTTTCCTCTTTAGAGACGAAGACTTACCTGGTAAGTTGTGTCGGTGTGACGTATATTGTGTCTTCGGACTGCGCGTCACCAGATGGAGCTGGGTAATGTATTGTGCCCACTTCCAACGCCTTACCCGATAATGCCTTCGTGCATAATACAATTTTAACTTTAATAGAGATGAATAGAGGGTAAAAAAAAAGAAACTCTATTTAGTCAGTCGGATAAGTATTTTCTTTTTTTTTTCAATATAACATAAAATGGTATAACCTCTATAGCATGTGTGTAGTGACGTCTATTAACAAATCCATTTCACGCAATTTGTATTTCAAAACAATTATAAACGATCATTATAGAAAATAGTTTCATTGTGTAGACATTACATATTTATTTAAAGCATATTAAAAAACATATTATATACAAACACATAAGAGCCATAATTAATTTTAAAACATCAATACTTGTAATGAAAATTTGAACTTTTTTATATAGGGATTTAATTAATTAAATCGTTTCAATCGAAATATGCATTTGACAATTTTTTATCAAATTGAACTGTATAATATAGTATTTTTGATAGGGGTTCATTTTAATACGTTGACCTCAAAATCGATTATCAATGAACTCAATAACATCGAGTTTATTGTAAATATATACATTCTTTTATTCTATTTTATATATATATATATATATATATATATATATATATATATATATATATATATATATATATATATATACTTCAAATACCAAACGTCAAATAGTACAGTTTTGTTACCAACGAACTACGTTTTAAGTGAATTTTTATATCTATAATTTATTGCAATACACGTACATAAATAGTAAAAATTACATTTTAAACATGGCGCTTGTTTAAAGTTACTTCGTTGGTTTCATTGATATATCTCACAGAGATCAAGCTATATTTTATGAAATATATAGGTAGGCAACGATACCACCTAGGTATCGATACCGTATCGGTCACGATGTATCGATCTACTTATTTGTATCAAATATAGTTTTCAAATGCTTCGCCCTCGTCGTAATTTTTATAGATTTTTGGACAAGTTTTGATTCTTTTGATAGCCAATAACAATACTCTGTTTACGATAGAAAGTGAAGCAGGTCCAGGTATAAAAATTGATGCATATAGTTATTCAAAATTTTGTTTGCAGTGCCCTCTGTGGATAGATTTCTAATTAAAGAAAATTAGTAGGGGGTTAGCAACATTTCGGGATGCGGCACCTTTGGGACTTTTCCGTGAGACAGACTTTAGGCACTTTATCACAGAGTAAACAGTTTTATGCGCGTGAGTTTTTTGACTCTACTCAGTGAGACACCGACCAAGTACCGATACAAATATTTACTTCACCATACTACTCGTTACTCGGTTATAAGGTATCCATACCAAAATACTTGGTATCGACAGAAAAAGTATCGAGTAAATACGTATCGTTTCATATCTAGAACAGTGTATTTTTACTCTGTTCTATAACGATTAATTATAGGTATGTACCAACCTATGTCCAACAGACTTTGAAACTTGTATTTATTATGTTCAATATATGTACAATTTTGGTAATGACATGATTTATGTAAATGTCATTACTTATGATAAAAAGCTGGTAAGTTTCTTTCGCTTGTTCTTCTTGTCAGCTAAAAGACGTCCTGAACAAGTGGTAGGGGAAAAAATATTTTTGGACGATTCAAGTGCTTGTAACAAGCTTATTTGAATAAAAACATTTTCATTTCATTTCATTTCAGTGTACCCACCTTAGCCAGTTCCCGCGATGGGAACTCCGCAAAATCTGCTTCAACACAACGCCAGGGGCGGTGCAACAGAAGCTGACTGCGCACTTCGGCTTGCAACACCGCGAGACGCTCCTACGGTCAATAGAAAATACATAAATATAGAATAATTTATTATAAAATATAAAACACAGCATTTTCGGAAACAAGGAAGGGGAAAAGTCGACATTGGTATATTTTTGTTAAATAACTTTAAAATCATTCGTTTGTAAATAATGTAAAGAAAATTCGTTTCGCCCTCCTATTACGGCTCTGAGTGTCTGCTATCTGCCTTAGGAACGCCAATTTACATATTGCGAAACAATTAAAGTCAATCAATCCTGTAGTATAAGAATAAATTATTATACATATATTTATGTTTTGAATGACGGATAAACCTATATTTTTTTCCTTACAAGATACGGCATCCAAAATATATATAACGGCGGGTAGTCCGAAGGGGCTATTACGAAGCCCAAATAGATGGTCCATATCGGAGGACTATCTTTAAAATAACACTGCAGGCGTGTATACCAACGTGGATTTGTTCCATTTATCACTTTTCATACGAAAATATAACGAGATGAGCGTGATGTCATCGGATGTCTTTACTCCTCGGCGATCGGAAACAGAATGTCTGCCAAAATGGCGGCAACTTGGTTTTTATAAACGAACTGTCAAAGTCAGTGTCACCATTCTAATCAAATTAAAAGTATCGATGATCACGCTCTCTTTACAATCGAGTAATTAAGTAATCGAGTAACTAGCAATTAAAATAAAAGAAACTAAATCAAACGATCTTCGTAATGATGATGCGACATATACATAAAATTCTTGCGTCACTGAGTGATTGACTGACTGACTCACAGACAGACAGACAACGTACAGCCGAAATTACTGAGCATAGAAAGTTGAAAGATTCCTTAGGGAGTGTAGAGGAGCACTAAAAGAGGATTTTTAAAAATTCCACCCTGAAGGGACTAAATTAGGGGATGAAAAATTGTATGAAACTTCGTTACTACAAATGCTAGGAGTTACAAATTTTATATGCGGGGTCTTTTTAGGACGTAGGTGCTCACTTTGACGGGATTTTACGAAATTCGAACCCTAAGGTAAATTAGATGATAACTTTTTATAGAATTTTCTAATTTATGGACTAAAACTAGACCACGCGGGCGAAGTCGCGGTCAAAAGCTATTAATTTATGTACGTCACCTCCAGCTGCCTCCTGATCTCCTTCTGCTTCTCCTTATGCTTCTGCAGAGCTCTCGCGTACTTGCCGGGCTCCTCTGGGAACTTAACCAGCCCCGAACGGGCCACGAACAGAGTCCATTCCTGCATATAAGCATTCAATACGAGTCAATTGCTTGCTTGTTTTATGAGAAAGTTCTAATTTTTTTACAGTAAATGACACTAGATGGCAGTTCGATACGTTTCTAATAATTCATGACACGAAAACACAGTAATTTTTGTTTCTAACATGCGACACGACAAAAACTGAAGTTTGGTTCAATTTTATTTTTATTTAATTCCAAAATTTAGATATACCTTACACTTTTTTGAAAATAAAATACTCTTCAAAAAAGCTTCCATTTAAGTTAACCGCCCAACCTTAGAAGTTTCTCCATTGTTATTTCTAAGTTAATTTACATAATTTTATTTATAGTTATCTAATAAAATTCGTGCTCAATATGGATAATATATTTTAATAAAAATCGCAATCGAAAGATTTTTTTTTTGAATTTTTTAAGCATTTTTAAATTTATTTATTTATTTTTAAAATCATGAAAATTTATTCTATTTATTATATTTGATTAATTTTTGATTCACAGTTTAGCATTACAGAAGAATATTCTTTATGAAAAACGCTTAAAACATCCACTTTGATTTTTTTAAAGCATTTTTCATTAAGAATATCTTTTAGTATAGCATTGTAAATGCAGAATTGATCAAATATAATAAAAACATACCCCTTTCATTACAATTTAACACATTGAATGCCAACTGAAAAGCTTTTTTCTGTAAATGGCCAAATTGTTATATTTCTTTAAAATTTGATTTAGTTTGCTAAAATTACTTTCTAGTTTCTTTAATTTTAATATTGTCTAGGTAGGTTTAACACGATATAAAAATATATCACGCGATATCGCGTGGACGGCCACTGACTGGCGGGCCAAATTCACTTGGCATTTGACGTGTTAAAGTGGTCCATATTTTACGAATAATTATATAACAGAAACCTATATTTTCAATTTTATCACACATTCCAATTGAACGATGACACTGACCGTATGTAGGGTGGCCAGTTGTTTCTCTAGCGCGGCGGCGGCCTGCCTCCTGGCGACCGCTGAGCGCGCGGCGGGGTGCTCCAGGGGCCGGAGGCTCCTGATGGTGGCGCGCTCCGCACGGCGACACGCCGCAGCGCGCGCCGCACGCTCGCGCTCCACAGTCCTAGTCAAACATTATACGTGCTAACCCCATCCTTTTAGGTTTCCATACCCAAAGGGTAAAACGAGAAACCTATTACTAAGACTTCAGCGTGTGCCTGTAACCAGGCTGTATCTCATAAACCGTGATAGTTAGGCAATTGAAATCTTAACAGACGATGTGTTTCTGCTGGCGCTATAACAACAAATACTAAAAAATCGGAGGAAATATGCATCTTATGCCTTAAACCAGGGCTCTCCGAACCCGCACCCGTACTGAAAAGGACTGGTTTAAGCGAGGCCGATCCAGCTGAAACAACCCGTTGCGAGTCCTCTGGAAAAGGAGGAGGACCCGAGAACATTCTAACTTCATCCTACCCTATATTTTCAAGCCAAGGTCTCTCTAGCCCATGGTATACGACATCTTAGCGAATATACAAAAATATTTCGTTTCATTTTACAACATTGATATGTTTTTGGTGGATAAATTTGGATATGTGACTAAGTTAGAAACACTGCTGTCAAATAAATATTATAATATAATAAAAAAACCCACAATATTGCACAGTATAATACAGAAGTGGGTATGACCATTAAAACTATTATTAGCTAATGAGCTGTCTCCGGCTCAGCCTATGTCACTACGACAAAATCCTGTCATATGACGCTTATTTTCAGACGGAGGCTTAGAGTTGCGCGTGAGTTGTTAATTGTAAGACTAAATTAAGTAAATAGTCGCTGTGTAAAAATCAGTAGATAAAAATATTCCAAGTGCATTTTTTTTAAATAATCAAAACAACAATTAAACTAGTACATAAAATAACAAATTAAATTAAATTTTAAATATCTAGTTAAAATTAAAATTATCAAATCAAAATTGTATACTTTGTTTATTGTAACTTCATTAATTAATTTGAATTAAAAATAAAATTCGTATTTCTTTATTAATTCGTACTTCGTTATTAAAGTACACGTCAAAGCGAAATGGCGCTGTAACATCGCTAAGACGTCGAATCTTATTAGGCGATCACTCCGCTGTGCAGATCCCTCGCACCGTAAGCAAAGAGAATTCAGCGCCGCATGGCACAATTCATACATACGTTCAAGTACAAGTTATGTGCAGAAGTGCCCCGCCAGAACACCGCAAGGTCAACACCGTTCGTCCACGAACGAAACTACAAATCGTTTTTATAATCACATCCGTGAAGATTATGCATCAGAGGCAATGTCAGGTTCTGCATAAATTGTCAAACATGCGTTTATTTGGAGACGTATTAGCGTATCACATATCTTTACCTAACTCCATTATCTTTTGTTCACGTATCAGATGATCGCATGGCAATTTTACTAATCAGGTTTGCTTCCAAAAACAGTGAGTTATTTTAGGTGATACAGTCTAATAAAGAAAAAATCCACTCACCAGCTGAGCACCTTGAGCTGATGCTGCAACGCTTCGTTAACATCTCCGGCTACCACGCCCGGCACCACTTTGACTGGTGTCTCCTCTAAATATCAAACGATAATCTTACAATATACACATTTAACAGTAAACACGATGCCATCGATTCTGCTTGCCAAATAAGTGTTTGAATAATTCACACTCACACCGAAGTGAAAAAAAAAAATAAAAGAAAAAAATTGAAGACATCACAACGTTACATTACATTGCTCAGATTTCAAGATAAGTAACTAAAATCCCCGTATTATGGAGTATCTGAGACAAAGAAGGTACCACAACACCCGGACCCGAGACTATAGAAAAATCCATTTATTGCATTGACCTGACGAAGAATCTGATCCGGGACCTCAGAGATCGGCTCATCACCCTAATTATTCACATTTAATAATAAACCAGCTGTATCATGTAGTTTCAGGTAAAAAAAAAATCATCATACTGGTAAGAACTAATAAAATATTGCAATTATTTGTGGAGCAAACGCAGTTTGATATAACGATTAGACATGGACTGAAATATGCCTGTTTATGACGTCATAAACTACATAACCGTACTCGTTAAATGAGCGTATAAGTGTAATTAATTGTTGTAAACGATATGGCAATTCGACAAACTTCTATGGGGATTGTCGGTTACAGCGACTTTTGACTCAGAGTTCATTAATTGATTGAAAAAACGAATTGAGAACATATAGCATAAGCTTCTCGATGGTGACCAAAAAAAAACGCAATGACACAACTTTGTTTTATTTACAAATAACCATACTAATACCAGGCTGGAAGAACTATATTTTAGAAAATCACTGTTACAACAAAACTTTCAAAATACTCCAAGACGCATTACATCAAAGTACAGCATGACCAGAATGATCGACAAAAAAATTATATTTAGTTACTCGAATCAAAAATCATATGGTCACCCTACTCAGTGTGACAATGAGTTCAATATAACACAGGATTGAATTCTAAAATTAAATTTGTTTCTTTAAGAAATTATAACAGAATCGATAGCACCTTTAATCATGAAACGATAAAAAATAACAAGCAGCCATGACCGTGTCGGTGAGAAAGCATGACTGTTAGACATTGATTTTCATTAATACATTAATTAATTTAATGAATCAGGAAGAAACTAAATACCTAGATTATTCACATTCACTAAGTAACAAGAGTTCTATATCTATAAAATAATTATTTAACTGACGTTTAGATAATTCAGGGGGTGAATTATGTACATCCGAAAATGATATTCAGAAACTTTAAGATATTCATAAAATTTACTTTTATTATTAAATACAACTCTGGTTTGCGACATAAATTCTCAAGAAATTATATATTATGGAATTATAAGTCTAAATAAATATAATACAAATAAATTAGAACAATAATAGTTTCTTCCTTTAATTTAACCGTTTAAAGACAGCACCATTTACACGAAAAGGACCTTCATTTTAAACACTAAATATCTATGCCAATATAGAAAAAAAATACCAAGAAAATCACATTGAAAATCAATTAATAACTTATATTATTAACTTATTGTTTTATACACTAGGCTCCTTTATGTTTAAACGGTTTTATAGTTAATCACATGACTTATATACAATCATGCAGCATTATGAATGATCGGAATAGCTCGATTTATTTAAAAACGATAATAGATAAAACACATCTAGGACTTTTATTTCATTATATTCGTTTGAGCTTGTCAATACTCGATAACTGCACATTTATCAGTATAATTTACTGACTTCCAATGGTATATCTTCAAGCCCATAAGACGTGGACAGAGAGGAGTTTGATCCACAAGAACACGATCCTCGATAGTTTAACTATTCCGATCAAAAAACATTAATGACGAAATAAAAAAAATTAATGGTAACACATAAACATAATGAGTTCACCTCCATCGTTGCAGCTTAGTATCTATTTTTTATTATTATTATATTGAAATGTATGTGTTAGAATATTAGCCGTTCCCTTAAACTTTCAACTCTACTGGTACTTATCCTTTTTATTTCAAATTTAAATAAACTAGTCCAATATAATTCCATTTTTGTTGCGTTTTCTTTTGAACATTGTAATATAGACGGAGATTTATAGTATACAAAAAATATAGACATTTTCATTGATATAAAATATATAATTTTTAAAATATAAATATAAAATATACCAACGAAAATATCTATATCTTTTAAATATATGTTGTGCTTATAATGTAAAATTATGAAAGATTTCGTTTGTTTTTGACTTCTGAATACTAACTATTTTTGTCACAATAAATGTTTAAAACTGTTTGATTGAGACTAATAATGGTGTTTGGAGACTAAAGCCGAAATAAAATCCATACTAAATAATTAATAACGAATTAGATGGCCAATTCCATTATTACTCGAACGAACGTTTGGAAAGTTTGTTAGCATCACATCCGTGAAGATTATCTGTGCCTTAGAAGCTATATCAGGTCCTACCCCCATCATAATATGTAGTATAAGTAAACTTATTATGCATATTATAATATAAACGAGTGTAATAATAATTCATTAATCAAAATTTGACTAGAAAAAATGTATTTTTAGATCAGTGTTGAGTGAGAATTTTAAGTTAATTTTAAACCTTAATATATTTAGATTTCAAAATCGAATCCTTTTTGAATCTTTGTGTTTACCTGCTGCTGTGTGTATAATAAAAAATGCAATATTCATCACTAATATAGTTATTTCGATCACACCAGCGCCATCTACAATCAAAACTAATTGAAACCATTCCATCACGTAAAGGAACACATTACAATTATTAGTAGGCTTATAAATGTGGATTTATACAACTGTCGAGGTGTTTAATAATCCTCAATCTAGAATATATTTCGGGATGCAATCACCTATTAATGTCACTAATATTATACTACTTTCTTTCACATTAAAAATACTAACCACTTTCCAAAATAACCAAACTAAGTATAACGAGTAACAAAAATTAAGGACTCTCTAAATGGATGCAACAAAAAATTCATAAGGTTTTGGTACACAACATACCAATCATGCAACATCAATAAAGACACAAAGACATCAAAATTAAATTATAATCCATAATTATAGCTTACGAATGACTTCTTTCGGTGGCGCAACCGGGGTCAAGGCCGCTATAGACGTTGAAAATATATTACTTTCATTATTTTTATCTTTTCTTTGCACTTTTTTTTTTAAATGTGCATATTCCCTATTCTATTTTTACAATATATTTGACTTATATTTTATATTTAAATGAAAAAAGTGTTAACAGAAAAGAATGATAATAATAAGGGAGTTTTAAGGGAAGGCATGCTGATTATTTAAATTTACGGCGTTATTCAGAAAACAATCTGATAGTTTAATAAGGTAACATTACATTTTGAACTTCATTTTAAGAGTAATAAAAAGGAAATATAATACAAAAGACTATCAGAACACTTTCTTTACTGCCTGACCGAGTCAATATTAAAATTATTTTTAATAAAAATGGCGGCATTTTTATTGAATATAAAAACTTTAATTGAATATTGTTTTATAATAAAACGTCGAAGACATTGCCTTTGTAGATCTGGTATCAAAGGCTTGATTTTTTTATGTTACTAAGAAAATATATATTGTATTTAAAAAGTGTAATGTCGGCCATAATGACTTCAATGTACTCAACAGTACAAATATTAAAGCTGTTGTCTACTGTTCTACTTTGCGTTAGGCGTCTTCTAAGGATTATAAAATAACCTTTATTTTCATAAATAACTAATCAAAACCGACTACCAATTGCAGACAACGCGGTCAAATCAAAATATTCTTCAGCTTTTTTAAAATTAATATGTATCGAATGAATTAATATTATCTCGGTCAGCTAGTAGCATGCTATCATTAGATAGAGCGCCTCACGTGAATAATCCCGATGCGGCGGCGCCGGCGTCATAGCTGCGCGCGCATACAAACTCATTAATAACAATTAAAAAAAATCAACAATATCGAAATTTAGAAAAAAAAAACATTCTATATTTAAAAGGACATATTATTCTTAATATATATGAACAAAAAAAAAACAATCATAGCAATCGAAACTCATTGGTATTCTTTTTTAGTAATAAAATACTCTTTGAAAGAACAATAACATCTATTCACTAAAAGCTCTGTAGCAGATACGAAAATAGTAAAGAAATATATATCCTTTTTTAGAATATATCTTATTTATTAATTAATTCTAAAAAACATTATTTAAAAAAAGATATGACTAGAAATCTTTTGACTAAAATATATTTTTATATCTATTTTTTAACTTGCAAGTATATGAATGAATGAATGAATAATAATTTTATTTGCATATATCACACACACACATGCCAGCAATTAATATATGTTTCGAACCTATAAAGTTATTGTAATATCACATTTAAGTATGAATAAATAGCTTATTCGCCTTCATGACACAAAACTGTAATACAAAAGCATTTTTTAAAATATATTCCAATAAATTAATGTCTTATCCACAATAAAGATTCCTAGTCATTATCAAAAATGTCACACGAACATAAAACCTTCTCAAACTGGACTTACTTAGCAGCAACAAATCTAGAAAACGAAATCAATAAAATAATCCATGAAGATTTCATTCGTTTAAATAAATATATCTGTAAATATTATTTCTATAAATAAAAATTAAAAAATATATGTCTGCGAGTCCACTGCGTAACTTATTGATTTTCACATAACTCACATAATAAAATCCGAATTTAATGTCAATTTACGTCAATACGTATCATAACATGTAATTAATTAATTTTGACGTTCAAAAAGATGGTCTATTGAAATTATTAAAGTGGAAAATAATTAGTAAGTCAAAGATTTAATAGATTTTTTTTCACATTTGCCCCCCTCAAAAATGGGCCGTGATATATATCACTCGTTAGTGACCCTATTAGGGGTTGTATTTTCCTATTATTCGAACGTCAAATCAACCTAAAGTTCATATCAAAAAGTAAAGTTACGCTGTGGAGTCACAGTACTTAAATACCAAGTCATTGCAATAAAGACTTTATTACAATATAAATAAGGCACATACCGTGATGTGATCCGCCTCGTTTAGCATACAACTTGAGTTTGTCACGCAGCGCGCCTCTTTCGCTCTCCAAAGAATCGATGTCTTGTTGTAAATGGTCCATTGTCTCCTCGAATTCCTTCTCTTTTCTATACGAAAAAGAAAAAAAAAACAAATAACTTTAAATACTATTGTAGGGAATCGTGATATTTTACATTCAAATATTAATTACTAGCTTTCGCCAGCGGCTTCGCCCGCGTGGACCCAAGGGAAATGTGTAGTGGGATAAAAATTATCCTATTATCTCAGTCAGCTAATACCCTATCTGTATAGCAAATTCCATCAAAATCCGTTCATTAGTTTCGGCGTGATTGACCGATAAACATCCAAACATCTAAACAAAGAAATTTTAACATTTATAATATTAATAGGATTACAATTCAAGTGGTGTCAGTTTGTTTTGTTTAATTTAATTTCTGGTTTTCGTTTTCAAATGACAAATCAGCTTTCTTACTCTTGAACGCAATCTTAATATCAAATTCAATCTAATAAATGAAACTGATCAAATCTTAGAACGTAGTCTTGAAACATAGACTCGGTATTTATGTTTATTCGATAACCGTGCGATTTTGAATCAATTGGCGCTAGTGTAGCAAATCAAGAGTACGAAACACAGAAATAAATCTAGTGTACGAAAGTCACAATTGCAACGTCGATCGATCTTACTATATATATATGAAGATGCCTTATCAGATACTTTAACGTGTCCTCTTTCGATTTATAAACGACTAACGGACAGTTTCACAAACGTCCATTAAGGTTTAATAACCCTTAAGCCCTAATGACCGTCAAATTTGTATCGGTAATGTCGCTTTATACTTATGACAATTTTAATGGAATTTTTATGCAACTGGCTGTATTTGGTAACAATGCTGTCAAGACCATAATCATCATTCGCCATATGCCATTGCCACACCATCACTATATCGAAGTTAGTAGAAATGAGGCACTGGAAATATGTTTCGAACACGGCTAACAAACTGTTTAAGATCTTTATTCTCAAAAATTCACTAACGTACAATGAAAAGATTTTCTATTTAAAAATCGATTACTTCGCCGTTAAAACTAATATTATAATCAACTCGACTATCATAAGTTATTGTTGCACCCTTGTATACGTGCGATAAATTACCTCTATATTTCCTCTCTTTCTAACTTGGAGATGTACCTTTCCTTCTACATATGTATATAATAGATCTATATTTATTACCTTTTGAGTTGATTCTGTGCGTCGTCCAATCTCCTCTGTAGCTGTTCCGCTCTGAGTTCCGCGTCTCTAGCGGCCGCGGTCAGTTTCCTCTCCCCCAACTCTCGCCTGATCTGCATCTCCGATAGCTCCTCTTGTTTAGCCTTTAAACGAAGGATAGAAAGGAATGAAACGTTAGCGAATAATCGATTAATAATAATCGATAATCTGCCCATTTTTACCATAACGACACTATTCTTCAATTTCTTTGTTACTAATAAGGTAACGTACCGAAAGGGTAAAACGAGAACCCTATTACTAAATCTTCACTGTCTGTCTGTAAAAGTTACACAATATTTGAAAAAATATTACTTTTGGTGGATTGATGAAAATACGCTCTGAAATAGGGAAGTAACTCAAAAAGATTCGACAGTTCTGTTAGGTCCTGGGTAGCTCAGTGGTAAGAGAAGTCGCCCGGATTATGAAAGGTCGTGGGTTCGTGTCCCATTACAGAGTGCCAGGGACAAAGTGGATTTTTTAAGCATTATTCATAAAGTATATTTTTCAGTATAACATTGTCAATGCAAAGTAGATCAAATATAAAAAACCGCTGATGTATTATTGCCGCTTCAACAACAAATACTAAAAACCAGAATTAAATAAACAATTAAAAGGACTCTCAAACAGCAAACTGGTTTTTTTTTCTTGTTTTTGTTCGACATTGATATCGACAACTATTTCAAGACGCTTAATATAATTACAGAATATGTATTTATATATTAACTTTAAAAATAAATAATTAACAAATATTAAAAGGGGCCTCCCATAAAACAAACGTGATTTTATGCTCGCTTCCGATACAGTACCCTTCGTGTGCTTCGTTTTTTATAATATTGCTGTCAGTATGTATGTAAAATTAACTGTTTGAGAAGATCAATGCATGACGACTTTTATCTTTAATAAATGTTCTAAATTTGAAAATTTAAACTGTCAATGAGTCAGTTGCACAAATGTCCATTAAAGTTTTCATTAGTTTAAAGCGCCATTACCCATACAAATTTGACATTCATTAGTGCTTTAAAGGCATCATTAAACCTTAATGGACGTTTGTGCAACTTACAGTAAGTTGCTTACTTAAACTATGGACAATTTTTATAGACGTTTGTATAATGAGTGTAACGGTTGTTCTTTATATATGTGTTTACTCCGAATTTTTTTCTCAAAAAGCTGAAACTTTAATGAAAAGAAAAATATTTACACCCGGCAGTATACGCTTAATTCCTAGAGTTAACTGTTAGATTAAGGATTAGACATCCACACGGCTAACTCAAGTGAAAAGAACTACATAGTTCAATTGTACTAGATGAACCCAAAGAGTAGTTTTAAATTAAGGGAAAGATGAATTAATTAATTTATCTAGTTTATATAATTCAATTAGGTCACTTTGGTATGTAGTTCATTCGAATCGAGTCGTTCCTTAGATATGTTAAGTTCAATGGGGTCGATACGGTTATTCTTATTTATTTATAATTATATCTCTTATTTTAAATGTATTTATTTTGTTTGGTATTATAATACGAACGAATATTATATCAGTCCTCAAATTTTTACAGAAAAAAAATTTAAAACACCTTTTTTAAGATTGAAATCTTTATGTTTGAAAGTGATATAACATGATTTTTTCTATAAATACTCTAAGTGATCAACAGATGGCGCTGCACCCTTCTAAATCGCGCTAACGCTTGTCTTCAACGAGTTCTATAATGTCTCGGTTGTTAGATGCGATTGTCGAATTTTCAATCGGATCAGTATTTTCTGATTAGAGTTTTTGTATATGCCACCTCGAATTCAATGTAAGTCGATAAACTGGCATCAAATGATTTCAAAATATAATTTACTGAGAGGAAACTTAAAAACTTAGCGAGTCACTAATAGCGACTGTTCATGCTCGTGTTGTCGAGTAACAGACGGACGGACACGATTGTTTATTTCTTTGTTTTTCTGGATTTAGATTGTTCATTCTTGTTTCTATTTCTAGGGTTCTTTTTACCAAAAGGGTCAAAATGGGACACGGAAATAACAAACTAAAATTTTGCTGTCCATCAATAAGCTGTATCTCATGAACCATGACATCTAGACATTTGAAATTTTCACATATGATGTATTTTTTTGCCGCTATAATAACAGATAATATTCAAGGAGGCTCAGGAACTTCAATAGATTATTATCAAAATATTTAATCTTTTTTTATTCAATATTTTGAGAGTAAGAATCGAGATAAAAACCATCGTATCTGTTACGTTAGACCAAATTAAAGATGCATGTGAAATTTTATAAAAATACAGATAAAAGTTATAATGCTGATATACAATTATTTAAAGGTGATCAAACAAGTTATTTTTTTGGAAGTACCGCCCCATTTTGTTACGTCACACTTACGCTGTTAGTGAAGTGAAGTGACACGAGTATTTTGTTACAGTAGCAAGCAATGAATTATAAATATAACTATATCTTATTAGTATAATGACAGTTTCATATTTATTTATAGCTTTTTTGGATTAACTTTAATAAATCCTGATTAAAAATTTGGAAAACACGTACGCGTGAAAGATAATTGCTTTTTTCTATATTTTTGCTATTTTTATTTAAACTTAGTTTATTTTTTAATTAAAATCTAGGGCATTTTGCACGAAGCTTGTTTGATAGTTACCATAATAGTTATGAGTATGTAGTTCAGTCTTTCTATGTTGATTGATTTCCGTGGTCTTTAGGCTTATTTCGCAATAATTTATATTACTCGTTCACTCGAGCAACTGTCTCGCTTCCGCACGTACTATCTATACATCTTTCTGTTCACTTTACTCTCTTTTAATTGATAAAGAAATTAGATGAACTAATGAACAAATTGCAATAAGAATGAACACATTCAAAAACTACACACATTTATTTCGGATCAATACAAATATTATAGTTAATTATACTTATTTGTCATCCTTTTCTCCCATATGGACATATCCCGTGATTTTTTCAGTCTATCAACAGTAGTATTTATAATGTTACAACATTTATATATGTCTGATTACCACATTTAGCCTTAAGGCGAGATTGTACGAAATTATCATTTTTTAAACCAATTTTATTTTAACTATTTGCAAAATAAAAAACACTTTACGAAAATTTAACATATGATCGATTGCCTACTAAAGCAGAAACATAAATTTCAATAATTGACTCGATAGAAAAAAATCGCAAAGATGACTCTAAATAGGTTTTTTGGATAGATTTTACGACTTATATATTTATATATTCATTCATCACAATTTTTGTAACTGCATATTTTTCTGTGATTAAAAATGTATGAAATCAAGCGAGCGCGTCTTTGGGAACGGAAGCGCAGGTACAAGAGGGCTTTAAAACAAAACAACAATGTTGAGTTCACTCTGTGATATATTCCAATCCTACGCAACTACGCGATATACGTAATATAGTTAATAATGGTTTATAGTATCTACAGCAATGTACACTTACCTTTAGTGCCTTCCTCAGCTCCTTGATATCGGCTTCCTTGTTCTCCAGTTTGATAGTGAGAGTTTTCGTTTCGTCCAACTGCTTCTTCACTAGTTGAGCGCGAAGGACCACTGGTGGGGTCGGCTAATGAAATACACCGAGATGAGTTTTTTTATAATAATAATTCACAAACAAACCGATGAGTTAGATTATTTTTTCGAATCACAAAGTGAGGGACCTAATAAGGATGACGACTGGGTAAAAAAAAAAGAAATTCTATTTTGGTCCGTCTGTCAGATAATAGATACGTTTTTTTTTTACTTCAATTTAACAACAAATAGCTCAGATAACAGGCATTAAAGTTGAGAAGTGGGGGCTCGATACGTCACAGTTTTGTGGAAAATGTACAAAAACGTTTAACTCTCTATAATTTATTGATTACAAACTGTTTTAATATTATTCAACAACCTACCTGACGGACATTGTTTATTTTTAAAATCTATCGCAATCCCTTTCAATTTGTATAATGGAAATCTGAAACATATAAATAAATAATAGTAACTATTGTTTAATTTGTTTATCCGTATCATGATATGAATGGAGATCCGAATGAATAGTTCCGAATAAACAGTTCCCTGGGAACCATTAATGAAGTTATTAATAAATAAATAAACTCACTTTATCGACGTGCACATTGGTGAGGGACATCATATCGTACTCTTTGTCTTGTGCGAATGTTGCTAGTTTTGTGACGTCAGCTGCCACCTGAGATAAGGCGTGCTTGATAGTCCGCACGGGGCCGTGATCATCCTGTACGTACAAAAACCACAGTTACATAACTTTATATATCCAGGGCGTGTCCTTTGACCCCGCACCCGTCCTGAAATGGACAGGCTTAAGCAAGGCCGAACCTACATGGTAAAACCCGCTGCGGTTCACCTCACTCAGAAAGGAAGTACTCGCCCACCGTGCCACGCTGCGACGACAGCGCCACCGACGGAAGAACGAAGCAACCTTCCCCTCCCGCGCGGTACGGGGTAGAGTCCCCCCACTCCGATAAATCTTATTAAGTTATCTGTTTAATATATGGTCTAAGTACGGCAGTACAAATTGTTAATATCGATTTTTGCGCAATAAACATGTTCTATTCTCCGGTCGCTAAGTGAACCGCTGTTTCATTTGAAACCCCTCACCCTTCAGCAAGCAGTTCCTGTCATCCCGCTTTGATCCAGCATCGTCCAACCACATCCCTGTGGAATTACATCTGCACGTTACACACCTGCTGATAGAGGGCGGTGTGACGTCACACACACGCGCGCATACACACACCCACCTATTGATAGAGCTTGTCCACACAGGCGGCCCACAGCTGATGGAGGGTGGTGTGACGTCACAAACGTGCACACACAGTACACACTCACCTGCTGGTAGAGTTTGTCCACGCAGGCGGCCCACAGCCGATGGAGGGTGGTGTGACGTCACAAACGTGCACGCACAGTACACACCCACCTGCTGATAGAGGGCGGTCTGACGTCACACGCGCGTACGCACAGTAAACACTCACCTGCTGGTAGAGTTTGTCCACGCAGGCGGCCCACAGCTGATGGAGGGTAATGTGACGTCACACGCGCGTACGCACAGTAAACACTCACCTGCTGGTAGAATTTCTCCACGCAGGCGGCCCTCAGCTGATGGAGGGTAGTGTGAGGTCACACGCGCGTACGCACAGTAAACACCCACCTGCTGGTAGAGCTTGTCCACACAGGCGGCCCACAGCTGATGGAGGGTGGCGTGCGGGAGGGGGGCGGGGTCGCCGCGTTCCCCGGCGGTGGCCGCGCACGCGCACGCCGCGCGCGACGCGAGGCAAACGGCGCGCACGCACCGCCACAGTGTACTGGCGCACTCGCCCCTCAAACGCTCCACCAACTGCGTACAGTGTTACACAATGACATTTTTTGAATTTTGCCCTTCTACCTCCAGACTGTCAGCTAGTTGCACAGACGTCCATTAAAATGTTCATTAGTTTAAAGCGACATTACCCATAGAAATTTGACATTAATTAGAGCTTAAAGGCTCCTTTAAGCCTTAATAGATGTTTGTGCAACTGACCGTGTATATCATGAAGCGTGATATTAAACAGGTGAAAATTTCACAGATGATTTATTTTATTGCCGCTATAACAAATACTAAAACAAAAAACCCGGCCAAACGCGAGTCGGACTCGCGCACGAAAGATTCCGTATTGGAAACGAGCAATAAAATTCGTGTATGGGAACTCCCTTAAATATTTATTTTATTCTGGTTTTTAGTCTGTGAAAATTTCAACTGGTATGATTTTATAGGGACGAACAAAATTAAAGTATTTAAAAAAATTTTAGACAACATCACAGACTCCAAGATTCCAAAATGAGTAGCATTAAACTTGGCTATCAATTTTCACATTTATATTTTTAGTGGTACAAGATATATATATTTATATTACTGACCGTTGTCATTATTGTTAACAGAAAAAAAATTGCAGACTGATTTTTATTATTAGTAACAACATATATGCATGCTTGCTATTGAAATTTCTGCTCACCCAATTTAAAAACTTAATTACATCTCTTTTGAAAATCCACAAATTCCATACTTTAAAAAGAAATAGTTTTATTGGGATTAAAGATAAAAACCGGCCAAGTACGATCGAGCTCGCGCACGTAGGGTTCCGTACAAGAAACGAGCTAAAAATTCACGTTTGTAGTTTGGGAGCCCCCTAAAATATATATTTTATTCTGGATTTTAATTTATTGTTGAAGCGGCAACAAAAACTGTGTAACTTTCACGATTCATTAGATACACCGTGGCGACAGACAGACAGTTCACCCTTTAATAACAGAACCCTAAAAATACACGTATTTGTCTAAATTCACTTAAATCGGTAAAAGGTGCAAATGTACAACATTATATATACCTGTACGTCTATTGGCACCGTGTGTAATCTGACGCCAGGGGGCAGTCTACGTCGTACACTCTTCAACTGCTGCTGCAGCGAAGCACTCGCCGTGCTGATGGCTTCGTGCAACTGACCCAACTCCATTTGCCTGTCTGACGTCTGAAAAAATACAGTAATATTGTAACGGTGTGCCGCACCACCGTTTATTTCGTCCTAGGTTTTCGCATGCAAACTTTTTGTCTTTGATATTTAACATCATTTCTTTTTATTATTCACCTTTCGTAATTTGAAATTTTGACTGATGAGGACTGTGTGATTAGTAACTGCTGGGTGATGGACGTAGGTTGTGTGTATGTGATGGGTGATTCTTGTGTGTATGTTGCATTATTGATGAATGTATTGTTGCCTAGTACTTTACTAAGTATGGCGGTAGTGTGGATGAATGCTTCTTTCTGTAGTGGGGTAATATCAATTTTTGCATTAATTTGTTCTATATATCTTAACATAATCTAATACTATAGGGATCACTGTGGTTTGAGTATTCAAGAGACGACTGATTTCGGTTTTCAAAAGGTAAATTTGCACAATTTTTCTATTTCTTTGGCGCCTACATTAAAATAGGATAGTATTGATATATCTATGAGATAAGTGCGATTGTTTGTTTTATCTATATAAATTATATCCGGCCTATTATGCATGACTGTTATATCAGTTTGAACAGGTATTTCTCACATGATCTAATTGTTTCAGTGTCTTTTATTTGCGATTGCGTGAGAGCTTCTTTCCACTTATTATTATTATTTACAGAGGTTCCCAAACAATTCACTGGTTTCGGTGAACGCCCTGCTGCTACATTTTTACCATATTCCCAAAATTTACTTACAACTTGTGAACATCTATTTTTATTTCACGCCAACGTAGACCCCCGTTGAATCCCGTTGATATCCTCGTGGACCCCCGGGGGTCCACCTGGACCACTTAAAGAATCACTGATTTACATAATCGCAGGGCCGGTAACACTATACCTGCAGCACATGCGTGAGCGCTGTGGCGTCGGCCTGCAGCGCGCGCGCCAGTGCGTCCAGCGCGCTAGACGCGTGCAGCACCGCGTGCCGGTCCACCGCCGCCCCCTCCACGCTGTTCATGTTCAGAGCGGACCACATGGCGGACAGGTACGTCCAGCAACGCTCCATGCCTGCGTACACCGATAACGCCGTTAGTACACCAAATGCGATACTATTGCGAAACTATTGCAAATGCAAACAGGGCTGTCACCTTTTCGGTGTTACTTTTTTTCCATTTCATTTTCGGAATCTAGATTTTTATTTATTTATTTATTTAGCTCACCAAAAAAGTTACAGTAATATAATTGAAATAAATATACACAACTAAGGAATAAACCATACCGTAACTCTTAAACAAGTGAGCATAGTATGGACCAAATATACAATGTAACATTAAAACGTATCCACAGAACATTATACAAAAAGAAAAAAAAATAACACAGCTAAATAAGATATAAAGAATACAGACAAATGCAATGCTTCTAAGAGCTTGTCTTGGACTTGTCTTTTAAAAGTAAGTATTTTACCGTTAAAGATATTTAGTGAACAATGCTCAACAACAAGATCTCATTTCATTCATTTCATTTCATTATTAATAAACAAGGTTTAGCGTTAGAGTAAATTTACGCTGAGACTGAACTTAGTATTAGTCAATATTCATATTATTAAACAGAGACTTAGCAAAGGTTAACCTAGTACAATTCTACGACAGTTATATTATTATTCCTAGAAGGTAGTAGGTTTGGTTATTCTCTGTATAATATGAATTTGGACTAATACTAAAATTGCATTTTTTGCGTATATGTATGTACTCCGACGCTAAACCTTGTTTATTAATAGTACTGTTATATATATATATATATATATATGTCGCATCATCATTACGAAGATCGTTTGATTTAGTTTCTTTTATTTTAATTGCTAGTTACTCGATTACTTAATTACTCGATTGTAAAGAGATCGTGACATCGATACCCTTAATTTTATTAGAATGATGACACTGACTTAGACAGTTCGTTAATAAAAAGATAGTTGCCGCCATTTTGGCACACATTCTGTTTCCGATCGCCGAGGAGTAAAGACATCTGATGACATCACGCTCATCTCGTTATATTTTAGTGTGAAAAATGATAAAATGGAACAAATCCACGTTGGTATACACGCCTGCAGTGTTATTTTAAAGATAGTCCTCCGATACGGACAATCTATTTAGGCTTCGTAATAGCCCCTTCGGACTACCCGCCGACATATATATATATATATTTATGCCACATACATCAATACATAGATAATGATGACAAAACCTGAAAATCAGGTGCGTCTCTTATATCTTTAGTTTAGCATAACGAGCGAATCTGACTACTTACCACTGAGGTTAAAAAAATAAAGATCGTAATTTTTGTTGTTGAAGAAGGCGATTCTCAATCTACTACACAAAGCTTCATAACACTCACCGTCGAGTGAGCAATTTTCATCGAGCTCGTTACTCTTCAGCAGCTGAGTGGCTGCATCCAGCGCACGCTCCTGCTGCAGCGCGTCCGGTAAAGCGCTAGCAGCGCGCAATAATATCTCGGGAGAACATGAATCAAGCGCTGCTGTCCACATGCACACTATACACTATAACAATATAATATCAATCTTATATTTAGAACTAGCTCCGCCAACGGCTCCGCCAGCGTGGTCGTTTTAAACCTCAGCAAAAGAAGATCTCAACATACAGACAACGGGTACCACAACACCCAGACCCAACACAATACAGAAGATTTTACTTTCTACATTAACCCGACCGGGAACCCAACCCGGGCGACTCAGAATAACGACTAATGCCGCATCAAACCTTAGTATTTGATGGTATTAATACTTGATAGCCTTAGTACCTTAACGTACTCTTTGAAATTTTTTGACATTTGTTACTTATGAAATTGATTAATTTGATTATTATTGTTACTGAAAAATCATTTCGAAAAATCTTGCAAATTTTTGTAACTAGCTCTTCATCTACAAGTGAGTGGTCTGTGGCCAGAATGCAATTTCTCAATTGGTCCCCAATTTTTGTTTGTGCCCGTCAGGTGGATTGTTGAAAAATATTAAACTATTTTTTTTTTATTATTTTCGTAATCATTAAATTACAGCTATTAAGTTTAATTGTCACATAACGTCATTTTGTTTTAGAACATTTTCTACAAAACTGTATACTTATCTAAGCTATTTCTTGTTAAAATGAAGTAAAAGAAAATACGTATCTAATATTTTTCTATTATCTGATTGACGCATTAAATAGAATTTCTTTTTAATTACCAAGTCGTCATCCGTATTATTGAAATGGTACCACTGACTAACAGCCGGTTTCAAGTACAGTTCGCGACGTTCTTAGTTTAATAAATAAATAAATATTATAAAAGGGCACATACATTGCTCAGATTCTAAGATGATTACCTAAAACCCCCATATCATGAAGTATCTGAGATAACAAAGGTAAACAACACCCAGACCCGATACAATATAAAAAAAAGTTCATTTTCTACATTGACCCGACCGGGAATCGAACCCGGGACCTCAGACATGGCGACACCATGAAACCGGCGTGCGAACCACTCGACTATGGAGGAGTTACCTTTAAATTATCAACTCAGAAGCCGAATGTTGGAATCACAAATAAACATTCGTAATATTTACCTGTATCATGTGCAGTTGGTATTCCAGTTGGCAGCGGAAACTGTATTGCACCGCTGTGTGGGTCTTCGTCACCGCCTCGCGATCCCACACGTTCACCGCTGGGAATCTGTACACAAAGTTATTTGTGAAACACCTGCAGAGCGACCGCTTAACCTATCTAGTTATAACTCTAGATGCAAAGTGTGAAATCATTTATCAAATAAAGGAAATAAAAATAAATTGTATAGGTAGTTATGGATAGTTATAGATGCAACAATTTCAGTTGCTCGAGGTATGTAAGAGAAGAATACAAGAAAGATATAGTATGAATAATAGAAGGTTGAGAGAAGAGAGAACTGGTATGAAAGAGAAATTCGAATAATAACATCCTGCTACAAAGTGGGGAGTGGTAGGAAGCTCGGCCAATAATGCAAGGCCGGGCAATAAAAAAAAACTTTAGATGCATGATGTTATAGCGCTAATTTGTACGAACCTTATCTGGACACTACAAATTAAACAGACACCTATTTAACATGAAACTAAGTGACGCTGACATTTGCAGATATTGCAAACAGGGACGTGAAACACCAAAACATCTCCTGTGTGAATGTGGACCACTGATCCACAAACGAAGCATACATCTAGGACGACATATAATCAGCCCAGAAGATATAAAATCTCTAAAAGCCAGGAATATTACAGACTTTTTCAAGTCTACCGGGCAAAAGGAGTTACTGTAACTCTGGCGGCGAGTCACAATAGATCTTTAAGGTCGCAGTGACTACAGTTCCTCAGGGAACTGCATAGCCCTTCAAAACAATAAATAAATAAAAATATAGCTTTGACTTCACTACATAGTATAAAATAAAGTCGCTTTCTCTGTCCCTATATCCCAATGTATGCTTAAATCTTTCAAACTGCGCAACGGATTTTGATGCCGTTTTTTTTTTCTTCATAGATAGGGTGATACAAAAGGAAGGTTTTTATGTATAATACAAAACCACGCGGGCGGAGCGCTGGCGGAAAGTTAGTACTTTAATAAAGAAGTACGAATCAATAAAGAATTATGAATAATGATTTCACAGTAGTGTTTCCAATTTAGTTACTTATCCCAAATTTATCCACAAAAGGACATGTGAGAGTATTTTAAGAAAAAAAAGGTAGCACTAAAAAAGCACTCCACTATATGACAACTCTACCAAAAGTTGATTTTTGCAGGAAACGAATAGACCAAAGATAGTCATTTCCGTTCCTTTTAACTAGCATATTAAAAAATTTAAATATGCCAAGTTCGAAATGTAGATATCAATACAAATACGAAAAATTACAAATAGAATAATATATGAGTTGGTTATTGAGTTTTGAAAATTTATTTACTTTTATACGTAAAAGAAAACGGAAGAGTTGTCACGGAGGAATCCAGAAAGTACCGTAGCGACATCTAATTTCATTTCGGGAACTAATGATATTTTTTAATACTTCCACATTGTTAGTCCTACAATATTATTAGTGAAATTATATTTTATTAATTATGCATTCACAAAAACTTCACTTTATCTCTGGCACTCTAAGACAGGTGTTTTTAAACCACCACCACCACTACCAGCCCTTTTACGTCCCCACTGCAAGGGCTCAGGCCTTCCTTATGGATGGTTAAGGAGGATGGGCCATGCATGACCCTCCACGCTGGCCCAATGCGGATTAGAGGGTATTAACGACTGTAAATGCAGCTGGGACCAACGGCTTAACGTGCCTTCCGAAGCACGGAGTAGCTCGAGATAATTTTTTTTTCGGTCACCCATCCCGTGACCGACCCTTGCGAAAGTTACTTAACGACTACGATTGCGGGCCGCGGCGCTTATCAAGCCACCGAGCTACTCCGAGTTTTTAAACATTTTTCATTAAAAATATTTATCATTGTGAATACAAAATTTATCATATATAATAATTGGAACAAATTTTCATCTTTATCGCAAAACTGTTAATAGTGCAAGAGATTACTCAGCTCTTTTACAACAAATAAATTTCAACATTCCACGTAAGCATAATGAACCCTCACGTTTTAAATTGTTTACTCCTAAATCTTTTAAGAGCAATCTAGGACACTGTTGAGCATTAAATAAAAACGAGAACCAATGTAATATCACTGCGAAAATAAATAACGGTTTAGATATTTTTCCAAATTTTACTTTTTTAAATCGAACATGATTGCTGCTATAAAGGATAAGTAATTCATAAACATAGGATAAGTAAGTGTAATCTTATTAAATTTCTTTCAGATATTTCTTCCTGTTTCTATGTTTGTAATTATAAATGCCGTAGCAGCTTGTAATTGAGGCAACATTTGCATGCGATTTTATAATTGTAATAAAGCTATTGTCAGTGTATTATCTTGTAAGCTGTTCTTAAATATATATTTATAAGAATATTTCTTTCGGCTGTTTGGATGGGTTGCCTGAACATCGATGAAAATTCGTTCTGTAGTAGCGAAAAAGTGACAAGTGCTTGAAAAATTCGTCAGTCCCGTTAGGTCCTGGGTAGCTCAGTGGTTAGAGCAGGCGCCTGGATTGCGAAAGGTTATGGGTACGAAACCCATCTCAGAATGCATGGGATAAAGTGAATTTCTTAAGCATTTTTCATTAAGATTATTGGTGTAATTTTTAATTTAATTTTTTTATTTATTGTAAGAAAACTAACAGCTTTTACAAAATAAGAATACTTAAGAATAAATACTAATAAGAGTAAAGCTAATTACAGGTATTCCTGAATTAATGCAATTGTATGTTCTTAAAACAGCTGGACTAGGATTATTATTTATAATTTAAAATCAACACAACATTGTCACTCACACAAACACACACTCAACATACATATCCTTACACATCTATTTTCGTGACCTCCTCGAACAGTTTCTATGATAGAGCGGTAAAATAAACTCCTACACCATCACTGAGCATAATCTACGTAATAAATAATCATTAAATATCCATTCGATTACGAGAAAACAGACTGAGACTGACTGAATTAAAAGTGTGAAATGTGATTGCATAAAAATCAATGTGATAAAAGTACACATGACCATTAATTATAATAATTGCGTTTAAAAAATACTTTATTATAAACTTTTATGGCGATTAACATTAGAATGATTGTTAATTACAGGATTGTTAATATCGGGGGCTCGATAAATATAATGTGTCATATTATTATGTGCCAGAACTTCGTGGGGTGGATTAGTTAATATACTGAACAACTTTTACTATGGAAGCAACACTGAATTCACGAAAAAATAATCAGCTGTTTCATACAAAATTGTTATACCTACAATCGCCAACAGCTATATGAAACAGCTGATTATTTTTTTGTGAATTAAGCGTTGCACCAATAGTAAAAATTGTTCAATATAATTAAATCATCCATCCCGCAAGGACCTGGCACGTAATAATATTACAGTTTTTTAATAGTTGTCATTATTTATAGTATTTTCTATTAAAATTAATGTTTATTCGGGATTGCTACTACATACTAAGATATGTATATAATGATAATAATAATAATTAAAAAACTAAACTATTAAAAATAAAACTTACTGGAGAAATATAAGAAATGTCAGGTATGTAAGGTTGTGAAAAAAATATCTTATCATTAGGCAATATTAAAAATATACATATTTAAGTACTTCTCATAATATACTTGTACAAATTGTTCTTTAGTTTAAATTAAATATATACATAATTTAAGTTGTTTTTGTATTACAACTATAATAATAAATAAACCGTTATAAAATTAATTTGTTTTACAAAAATATAAATTATATGATATGACAGGCAACATAGCCAAATTATTTCTACTATATTCCACTATAAGCGTCGTGATATTATTATGATTACGTTACCTAACTTGTAAGAAGATATTGAGTATTTCGTTGAAAAAAAAATGTTATTATCTATTCAGTTTTCATAATGAAACTTAAATTATACAAACCAATTCCAAAAACCAGAGGATCTCAACTCGATAAAAACGTAATAAAATAAAACATTTAGTACCGCCACATTTTTTTTTTTATATCTCAGAACTCTTAAACTCATGTTGCAACTACAAGAATCAGAATCAAGTATTTAAATAAAAATAATGAAAATTCACATTTGACGAATCACGATTATAACATTGTTGTTAATTGTACCATTTTGATCTGTTTTTTGTAAGTGTGCTTTTAAAATACTCTATTCAAAATTCGAACGTCAAGTAAGTTTCTTAAATGTATTAGCGCCTTTTTTAATAATTTTTTGTTTTTTTTTGGAATATTTTTCAGCATTGATTCTTTTCAATGTCCATTTACCAAAAAGCATTTTAAGCAGGAGCTCGATAAAATAATGTAGCTTGCTGTACGAAATCGGGGGTTAAGAGGACGCGTACACCAAAAATTACTATCGTTTAATAGATTTTTTACCAAGAAATTAACTGTATTAAAAAATGTGAAAACTAAATCACATTTGAATTTATATTTTACGTCTCACGGTGAATTTCATTAAAGGATAACGATGAGAATAGTTTCAAATATTTTTCCAATAACGCTCAATAGATGTCGCTGTACTGTATTGCATCGCGGTAGTATGTGTTGCGTACATTTCGTATAAGGTCTCGATATAACGTTTATGTACTTAAATCGATTCAGTAGTTTTTGAGTATTTTTGGTATACGCCGACTCGAATTCTGAGCAAGTCGATGTACTGGCGTTGTATGTTAATAAAAAGCGTGTAATTTAACTGGATGCATAAGTTATCGGCGGAGCCACGTAAAATCAAGAAACTAATTAGACGTGAACTACGTAATAGGTCTACTGAGACTTTTATATCTGTCTATACTAGAGATGACCTTAATTGCACGTTTATTTGGCACGGAGTATAGATTATAAAGTTAATTTATAAAGTATATAAAATATAAAGCCTATTTGTAAAGTTGTAGTTTTTATTCACCACACATTGTTTTCTGTTATATTTTAAAACGCAACTTTTTTTGTGTGTCGGGTTATAATGCGCCTACTCGGGCCGCGACGCCGCCGCGGTTTCGCGACTGCGCAGTGAACGCGCCTGCAAGCTAGTGCAAGCGAAGCAGCGCCTACTGAACTCGATGAAATTATCTATTATCAAACGCAAAGCTTTTGTCCTCATGTGACACAAATTAATAAATTTTACAATCTTTATCAAAATTTTACTTTTAGTATAATTATATTTATTTTATTTATTTCTTAAACAATTTAAATTATAATTATAATATAATCATTTTGCGTGCAACACAGGACAAGTGGCAAATTACACAGCATGAGAAAAAATAGTATACAAAATGGCAACCTTATTGCTACATGACAATATATTTCAAGCCACGTATGGAGAAGAATAAATAAATATCATTCATAGTAATATCGGGGAATAAGCACAACATGTAAAAGAAAGAACAGATATATTTTAAAGAAGAAATAAGTATAAAGGAAAAGCAAAATTTAAAGAAGTTGTATATCTATAAATATACTATTTCTTTAAATTTTGCTGCAAAAACAATAATTGCTGTACTTTGCGCACGCCAAGACGAGTTCTTCTCTCATTGACGATACTGCCAGCCACGGAAAATAATCTTTCACAGGGTACGCTTGTAGCCAGGGCATTTAACATTTTTCGTGCTAAAATAAATAGATGTGGATAGGAATTTTGATTCAATTTCCACCACTCGAGCGGTGATTGATTTTTTTCTATAATATTATCATCTATATATCGTTGCACTTCGACAACTGCTCTAGAATGTGCTGTCCCGCCAGGCCTGATATTTTTCATTTTTTTATAATAATGATCCCAAATAGATTTATTTTCTTGGTTGTTATCATTTTCTAAAACAGGTTCATTATTTTCTCTGGAAATCATTTCCGTTATCTGTAATATTATGTATCTTTTTGTCGATTCCGCAGTTGAATCATTTTCAAAATATAATTTGTATCTTGGGTCCAGGAACATACACGTAGTAAAAGTGCGGCTGTTTTCTAAAGAATCGAAACGTAATACCAGCCCTCCAAATAAGTCCTGCCTCACCATCTCAACTTCATCGGGCAACTGAACACCTTGTGAAGCAATTTCAGTCAATGCACTTTTTAATGCAATTGTAATTGGAATGACGGAGCTACCAGTAACATATTTTTCGCCGCTCATTTCCTTGGTTACTTCTTCACAAGGCTTTAAAACTAGCAACAGTTTTTTAATTATATCCCAGTCATGAGCAGATAATATCGGAACGCTGGCATTTAAATTAGAAAGAGCACTATTTATTTCCTCCTTTAATTCCAACAGTCGTTCAAGCATGTAGTATTTTGAATTCCATCTTGTTGGAACTTCTTGAAGAGGCCGTTTGATAGGCTTTCCAGCTTGTTCTAAGTAGCGCTTTAATTTTTCCCAGGCCACATTACTTTTTTTAAAATACGCAACAATTGCTTTGGCGTTGTCTATTACATTTGTAATTTTCTCATGTTCTAATGCCTTATTTACTACTAGGTTTAAACAATGAGCATAACAATTGAAATGTTTCCATCCCAAATACTTTTCTATGGCACATTTTATGTTAGCTCCATTGTCCGACACAGCGAGTAGAATTTTACCTTCAATATTCCACTCTTTTACTATCCTCTTAAGCTCTTCTGCTAGAGCACTGGCTGTATGTGATGTGCCATGTAACGCCGAACATTCTAACAAAATAGATTTTAATTGCATATTGCTATCTATAAAATGACCGGTCACAGCCAAAAACCAGTCACCATTACGAGACGTCCACATATCTGTTGAGAGACATATTGATTCCATCTGAGTCTGTAATAAATTTTTTATTTCGTTTTTCGTCGCTTCGTAAACCATAGGAAGCATATTGTTTGCAAAATATTTTCGGGATGGAAGAGTATAATGGGGAAATGCAAATGATACAAGCTCTCTAAAACCTCTATCCTCGACTATTGAAAATGGTTGGAGATCGTAAATAAATAAGTTTAAAATACATTGATCTATATCTTTTTTAATTTTTGAGCAGTCACTACGCATGTAATTCGTCATTGTATTTATAGTAACGGTTGGTATAAGCATTGGTGGAATCTGCTGAGAGGTTGACGCTGTGGCTGTAGTTTGAGGCATAACCTGATTTTGCTGCTGCTGCACCGCTGCCGACGGCGCTATAGTGGATGAGGCTATATTTTGGTCTTGTCTAGGTACTAATTGTATAGTTACGTGCTTTCTTTTGATGTGTTTCATTAAATTTGAAACTGAAGCCTTAAATGATAACTCCGTCTTGCATATTTTACATTGAGCTTTACAATTACCTTTATCGTCAAAATAGTCCCATGCTAAACTTCTTTTTGTAGCCATTATTGAAAGACAAATCAAAATATATATATCAACAGCGATGAGAATGGATATACACTTTTACTTCACCGTGAAATTTAAGTACTTTACTGTTTATTTACTGTTAATATTTAAAGCAACACCTTTACCGTAATAGCGTTTGTATTAGCGAAAACACTCAATAAATTAATCCAAACACCCCAATACCATAAAAATCTACTTACATATAATATTATTAGTAACTAAGTTTTTAAAGAAATCGAAAACAAGACGGCGAAACAACTGTTGATTATTCAAAAACATGACAAAATATACGGCCGCAGCTAGAAACTAGATTATATACCTTATTTACATTTAACACATTAGGCATCGGATGCTAAGCTTACCTTATTACTAACAAAAAGGTGTTTTATGACATAATATTAAGGTTGATCGTTAATGAAAAGGAATATACTCACACACTTAGATCGTAAGCGTCGCGTCTTCGCGTCTTGGGAGCCTCCGCAAACAAAAAGCGGTTTTATTACATAACGTTAAGGTTGATTAATTGTAAATTAATAGGAACAAACTTACTCACACTTAGATCGAACGCGTCCGCGTCTTCGCGTCTCGGAAGCCTCCGCAAACAAAAAGCGGTTTTATCACATAACATTAAGGTTGATTAAATGTAAATTAATAGGAACAAACTCACTCACACTTAGATCGAACGCGTCCGCGTTTACGCGTCTCGGGAGACTCGGAGTTTGTGTGAGTATCTGAGACTTCTAAATACTCGAAAACGCGTTGGACGCCCGAGTTCGCGTCCGCGTCTTGGAGTTAGTATGAGTAACGAGTAATGTACCTACGCCGCGCGGCGTAAATACTTCTAAATACTCGATACGTGTTGAAAGCTGATTTGATACTTAGTATTTAGACGTCCAAGGAAAAACTTATTCCAAAGACTTATTCCAGTAAATACGTCTCACTCCTAATCTATACTAATATCACAAAGAGGACAGACTTTTCACTTTTATATTTGCCGATTACAAACTTATACTTGCAGCTAAAATTGTGATGTTTCTATTATAAAATGTATGGGGTTTTCTGCAACGCTAACGATAACCACTAGCAAATTACCAATAAAACTTGTTTACTGAAGCATGTGAAAAACAACCATGTCAAACTAAGGTGCTGTTGATTTGAAGTTTTTTACTTTATTAAATAGTGTTAAACGACCTTACAAAAAGATACGTTTCAAGATTGTCTATTAAACTTGGCACTAATTTACATATCAATACTTTTATTAGTGGAGGTGACAATCACACCGTATCAAGCTTAAACACTGTGAACAAGCTTAAATATCAAGTTCACATTCATGTTTTTGGTAATTTTTTTTTATGAAATGGTGCCATCTTAGATTGTGTAATTTCGGTACCATGTTAAATCAATTTTTATATTTAAATGTGAATTTTATTTTAGTTGTGTGTGTCTATTATAATTATTATATATTTTAGTAATTTTATATCCATTTACTTGCTATAAATAATGTAGGTAAATACATATAAGCTCGTTGACTTGCAATACTATCCGCAAAATTGTATCTAAAAATAATTTGATTTTTTTTTTCTCTAACTAGCTTTCCTCGCGACTCCGCTCGCGTTAAAATTCGGCGTAACATAATTCCCCTTTATACAAAATTTCAGTCCTTTTTTAAAGAAATAGGGGAAATTTCCAAAAAAGTTGATACAAAACGTCAAGATTTAACTTTCTGCCTTCAAAATTGCGGAATGCTCCATATAAACTTCCACCCTATATGGAATGTGATGGTATAGGAATAGAAAGAGACAAAAAGTAACCCGTGTCACTCTTCAGCACTTCTAAAAATGTCTACATAAAAAAACCCCACTCCGTTGCTCTGTTTCGTGGTAAAAGACGTACAAACAAACACACTTTCATTTAACATTTATAATATCAGTATGGAGTTTTTATTCAATTTTATTCATCTGTATAAGATAAAAATCATCTATACAATTTACCGAGTCCATCGGCATGCAATTCATATACCATTAGTACTTTTTCGGATTTGTATATATATTTTCGGAATTGTATATATATCAGGAAATTACTATCTTTGGTCCATTCGTTTTCTGCAAAAATCAACTTTTGGTAGAGTCACCATCTAGTGGGGTGCTTTATTAGTGCTTTTTTAAACCGTGGGTCACGTAAACAAACCTTTTTACTTCCTCACTGCACCCCTGCTCCTCCGGCCTTCCATGAGGCTGGTTAAGGAGGATGGGCCATCCCATCCACACTGGCCCAATGTGGATTGAGTATTATTTACTGCAGATGCAGCTCGAGATTCTTTCGGTCACCCATCCCGTGACCGACCCTTGCGAAAGTTGCTTAACAACAACGATCGCGAGCCCAGATTTTTAATAAACAAAAAGAGATCATAACCACTAACCTCTCTCTGATCTGGCCTAGTATAATCTCCGCTTTCGTGTTCAGCCTCTGCAGTAGCAAAATCAGCAAGATCGCATCGTGGTCACCTGAAATTAAAATAAAAAGTCAAAGTCAAAATTGAAATAAACTTATTTAAACTATTATATTTGATAAAATTGCATTCAGAATGTTATACTGATATATATTTAAAGAAAATTGATCAGTCCTGTTAGGTCTCGAGTAGCTCAATGGTTAGAGCAGTCGCACCCCCATCTCTGGATACCTTGGCTAGTGGATTTTTTAACTAAATATATTTATTTAAGGCACCTTCGAATCGTCCAACACTTTTTTTCCCTACCTCTGGTTTAGGACATCTTTAACTGATAAGAAAATCAAGCAAAAAATCTCAAATAGACAAAATTAACACAGGATTTTTTAATCCAGAAAAATTACCACAGAATCTTTAATAATGAGAATATAAATCTGGTATTCGATAAGAAAAACACCTTCGATAATAAACTTTTCGTCTTTATAATCCACACTAATATTATTAAAGCAAAAGTAACTCTCTGTCTGTTGTTACATTTTCACGTCTAAACTTTGAAAGTTACAATCACTTTTGAAACAAATCATGATTTGAATGATCCAAATCATAATAAAAACTTACCCTAAACCATTCGAAAGATTACAGATGGCATTCCATTTGACATTTTGTCAATATCTCTCAAAGATATTTGCGTCTAACTCTTGCCTTAGACGATTCCAATTGACGTTAAATTACCGATATCGATCATAAAATATCTATCATAGATACGATGCGATCATAATCGCTATTTATGGAGTCTCGAGAGTACTACAACACCCAGTCCCTACACAATATAGAAAAGTTCATTTTCCACATCCACCCGACCGGAAACCGGACCCGGGTCTCTAGGATGGCAACCCGGCTTTTTGTAAATATTATTTTTTTAGAAATCTCATATTCCAAGACGATATTATGGAGTCTTCGAGACAACGAAACTACTAAAACTCCCAGACCCGACACAATATAGAAAAGTTGATCTTCCACATCGACCTGACCAGACACCGAGCCCGGGACCTCAGAGACGGCAACCCGGCGTGCAAACCACTTAGCTATGGTATATCGTCCATTATTTATGGATATAATATAATAGTTTTTGTCAATATGATTTGGTTCTACCGCGTGTTACAAAAAAAACCCGTTACCCCGAAAATGGCATTGAGTATACATAAAACTAAGATAATGGACGCTGTCCTTTATATCGTAGTCATTGTATTTATTGAAAAAAACAATATCGAAGTTTAGCAAAATTTTCGATACCATTTATCGAAGCACACCGACATTATGATCAGCTGTTTCAGTTCATTGACTTCTAAATCAAAGACTATAATTTGCCAGACTGGTTATATCTACTGGTATTTAGTGCCTACGTCACAGTACAGCGAAATAATTTATCTAGTTATGTGTACATACGCAAATATTCGAACATGCAAAATATTACACGAAAACATTATTTTAAAACTATTTCCAAAATTCGTTTTTATTCAGATTAGAGCTCCCTTTCCAATATACCTTGCCATATTACTATGCCCGTGCTACGCACATATCAGGCACGGAAACAAACAATAAACAGTACGCTATAGTCACTGCACTGGATTAAATACTTTCGCCTGAAATGCTCGTACAATATCTCTTTACGAACTGTAGACGGCCCATCCAAAATAATAATCTTTATAATTAATGCTACGACACGTCACTCAATAATGTACTCATAAAATCAATTTCATCTAATCTAAACAAACAGAGAAGCAGAGGAAGAAGAAATATCGCGACCTCTAGATAAGTAGAATATTCGTTATTGCACGAACAATTTTTTTTCATAATTAGGTAGTTTCATTTTTATGAAAATAATTACAATATTATGAAAGTAGGCGACGTATATCACTGAGTGTCTTCCAGGTAACTTTGTCTATCTGTAGCTGCTTCATCTTTGAACCAGAATTTTTACACATCGTGTCTTTAAATCATGATAACCTGGTACTCGTACCTACAATCTTCTGTTACGAAAGTAAACCTAATATGACGTCAGCGCAGATACAGTCGGGGAATAAATTGAAACATTGATCAATATTCGTGTACATATTTCAATTGTGTTTATGGTCAATTTATTTCTTTTCTAATATTTTTACAATAAAAAGATCAGACTTAAAATGGAATATGAACCTTAATCGGGAATATGATCATTCCCGATTATGGTTTCAACCACTTACTCTTACTACATGTAAATTGTTTCAAGTAAAATGGATTGCTACCTTAGAGTTAAAGATATGCACTACACTTAGGTATCTTAAAAGCGTCTGACAAGAAAAAATGTCGACAAGAGCCGCTTTCTGAATTGAGAAAAGTACAAAATCTCAACTGAATATTCTCAATAACCGAAGTTTTTTTTATATTTCACTAGTCAAAAGTCCTAGTTTTATCAAACTGCTAACAACTAATTATAAAAAAAACCGGCCACGTGAGAGTTGGACTCGCGCAGGAAGGGTTGTATCCGGTGCTAAGAAATAACTTCATTAGCTTAACTCTTAAAAATATTTTTTATTATTTAGGTATTTAAATACGTAAGACAAATCAATACATAATCGGTAAAATCGAGCCTAAAACAAATTCACTTATTCCCCCGAGTGTACAATGACGTAAGATAGAGATAGAGAGGGAGGGAAAGAGAGAGAGAGAAAGAAACGAAACATTATCGTTCGTGTTTGTGTGATGTCGCGCGCTAGTGACTACTTGACGCTAGATACGGTAGTAGTAAACATTTGGTACGGATTTTAATTTATTATCTATTTTATTACTGTGGGCTATTCAACTGAATTTTAGAATCAGAGTATAGGATTCACTATTTTAATGCTGTAAGAAATGAAAATGAATGAGACGTTTTATTATGTACTGTTTACCTATTTCCTTAAATAGAAAAAGCCCTAAAACGACCGACACAGCTAACAAACAAATGGTCATTTATTTGAAAAATAGTTCAAAATAGAAAAGGTGTATAAAATGAATTAAAATTTTAAACAGGTATGTCGATTGTATGCAGATTACTACGGCCCACGAAATACATTAATTTATTTATTTAACGATGTCTTATGATAGTCAATGCTACTTCCTCTCTACAGACTGAGCCAAGCATGCTCGTTTGCAGGTGCAGCGTGAAAGTATATCACATTTCTCACTTAAACTAGTCTTTACCAAACATTAACAAAGTTTAAATTTGTAAATACTAAAAATACAACCATGTACTATCTTATCAGCAACATAAAAATTTACAAAATCTTTGTCAATTAACAATTCCTAATACGTAACGTTCATAATACGTAACGTATTATGTACTTACGTACGTATGTAAAAAAAATTAGTTGCAACAATGTCCCTGCGACGATTTTTTTAATTTGTACAATAAAATGTTGATCACCTCGGTACTAGGCAACTAGAAGTTTAGGCTCAAACTTTAACATTGCCGCCTGTCTAGGGTTGTCATCTATCCGTCTTTAGCGGGACATGTTTGACTTTTTAGATTGTGTGCAGCTAAATGTTAATGTCACATGTCCGGCGGTATAGTTTTCATAGGTTTTTGGTATACCTGTGCCGAAGCTATATCAAATAAACTATGAATACACACAAATTCGAAAACGTCAAATACCCAAATACCCAAAAAGACGCAGTGTTGCACGGGCATTTGCGAAATTTGAATACAAATCGTTAGTTTGTTTGCATCGTATAGTCTCCGAAATTACTTTATAAAAAAAAACCTTTTTCAAAATAGGTTGTGCAGTTTTGATGTTACGATCAAGCCTTATTTTATGAATTCACGTTTTGGCTGTGATAAAAGCGTTAAAATTATGATGTAGTTATCTTATCTTTAATTACCGCTTATTTGTATGTTACGTCTTACTACAAAATCAATTGAATGTTAGTGATTTTTGCTTAACGCACCCTCTGAATAACTAGGCAGTAACCCTCGCGAAGCCGTGAACTAATATTACTGTCTACTACGGTAATATTGTTTTACGGCTTCGCGAGAGATTTGACTTAGTCCGGCTTTAAGGACAAAATTTCCGATCTAATAAGAGAAGATGGCAACCCTATCCCGCTACTTCTCAAGATTTAATTGCGGAACTATAGGTACCTTTCTGTGCGCCTTTGACATGCCGCACACTATGCAGCGGCTTATAATAAAAGACTCAAAATTGGCGGCTTTCCCTTTTTATCACTTTTTCTTTATTCAGTTGTTATACGTCGTCGATGTGATCACGTTTCGAAAATGTCCGTGTTCTCTAATTCCGAGTTCTATGAAAAGTGCTTTTATCAGTGTTACATGGGATGCAGTGTTGTATTGATATAAATTGAGACTATTTTGAAATGATGTAATTATACTGAAACGTCAGTGAACCAGAGGTTGGCCGCGATCTTTAGTTTTTTCTTGTGGAATAAAATTAAGTGCCTAATAAAGTGTAGGTGAGTGAACCTCACAAGTAATGCTTAAACAGTGAATAAGGAAGTGAAAAGGTAAAGTACAAATAGTAATTCGCAAATATTTATTTTTAAATACGCCAAAATCGTTTGTGAATTATGTCGCATATCATTTTTTTTTTATTATCGTAATATCAATCAGATTTGTCGGACCATTAAAGTATGAACTAAAAGTTAGACTCGTATATCAGTGTTTAAATAAATTTTACCTATCTATCATAAATAAGTACTACTTAAAATGGTGTTTGATCTGTAATTCAGAAACAGCTGAGTCGGAAACGATGCTATGAAATGATGTGCGCGTTGATAATAATATGTATTATAATTTTTTTTACTGAAATTAGACTACCGGCTGAACAGCGTCGGTTACCATACCATTTTGCCAATGATTTGATTCCTATTTAATTTCTTTTCATTTTATTTTCGATCGAAATAGGTTAAGTATTTACTGTGTAAACTGGCAAACGCAGACATGTTTTTAAGTATATTTTCTCTCTCATTCTTAGTGTGTATGTGTGGGTGTGTACTAGGAGAATAGAAAAAAAAATTAGAAAACATAGGAGATAGGTAGTGTGCCATTACTCCTGGTAAGGTCATTAACCTAAAATAGTGATGTGACATAGCACACTCGATGTATTTATTAATTATTAAAAATTAGCCTTTTTACTGAAAGTTAAAAGTTAATGCAAAGGTTTTGAAAATTTGGCAGAGTACTGTTTATATGATATACTTCAACACCCTTCAGCTATAACGGGTATTTTTGTAACACCCGGTATATATATATATAGTTTTAATGTAATTTAAACTTAAGTTGTATTAGTCTTGCAAAGAATTAGCATCTTTAATTCATCATTATTATCATCATCAATTCAGCCGAGAGACGCCCACTGCTGGGCATAGGCCTCCCCCAAAGATCTCCAAAGCGATCGGTCCTGCGCTCCCGCATCCATCTTTAGTTTGCATTAGAATATTTGTAGTTAAACATAAAACTATATTGAGTTTACAATAAGTCCTAATTTAAGTGATTTATGTAACTTCTAGCATAAATGTATTGTAATCCTGTTTGTGGTTCATAAATAAATAATAAAAAAGAAAACAAAAATTTTCTAGACACCTCATATTCCAAGATGATATTATGAAGTCTCCGAGACAACGAAGTTACTACAACACGCAGTCCCTACACAACATAGAAAAGTTCATCTTCCACATCGACCCGACCGAATGTGGAGTTGGTCCACCCTGTGGAGCTATACTGACCGCACACGGTCATGAAGTGGTCCGGCAGGCAGGCGGCCAGCATGTCCGCGCGGGCCCTCGCCTGGGCCAGGTCGAGCGCGCGCAGCTGCAGGTCCACGGAGCGGGTGGAGGCGCGCGACTGCTGCACCAGCGAGCCCAGCTCCACCGGCGGGGACGAGCGCGCCGAGCTCTCCGGGTTGGACTCCTGCTCGCTGGGGGCCGGCGAGCCTGCGGAACGGAACAGACCACCGATTGTATTAATGGAATTGCCCTGCCCTTTTACGTTTCCACCAGCAGGCAAAACACCTCGTGTATCTTCTTTCCGTATAAATTGACTAAGGAACACCTTATTTGTTACCATGGATGTTTATAGGAATTATTTATCGAAAAAAATTAAAGTTCTTCTAGTCTTAAGAACAATTTTGGTTTTACCGGTTACTACGTGTTTGGTTTCCAGCGTCGATATACAACAGATGTCATGGGACCTTATCTTTATTCTAAGTTATATAGGACTAGCTTTTCGCTAGCGGCTTCGCCCGCGTGGTCTTGTTATTATACAAAAAAACATTCCTTTTGAATCACCCTATATATGAACTAAAACCGCATCAAAATTCGTTGTGTAGTTTTAAAGATATAAGCATACATATGGATATAGGGACTGAGAAAGCGACTTTGTTTTATACAACGGGCCGTGCAGCAGAAATCGTAATATTTTAATTTCGCCATAACTTCAAAACCAAACGTCCAATTTTAATCATTTTTACTTAGTGATGAAATAATTTATTTTGACAAGGATTAATATAGCATGAGTAAAATAAGCACGTTTAAATGTAGTCCAAAAAAATTCAATATTTTTAAATAAAAACTGGTTGTTGTGCCTCACTCGATAAGATAGGTATAGTGTGTTGCGGACTTTTTTTAGATTTTATAAGATCTACAATTAATTAGAACATTTTATGGTTCCATCTTTTATAGTTTAGGCAGCGTACGCATGATATGTAACATTTCTGGTTGGTTTTTATACCTTGTGCCCGAAAAACCCAAATATCGTAAGAAACCCTATTTTTTTCCAAAATAAAATATAGCCTTCGTTACTCGAGGATAATGTAGCTTTCGAATGGGATCATAGAATAGAATGAACATACTGATATATGGACAGAGAAAGCGACTTTGTTTTATACTATGTAGTGATTGCACGACAAGTTCTTTTTTAAAAAAACAAGCTACAGTTTTCTTAATAAAAAATACTAAAAAAAAATTGTCCCTGACACTCTGAGATGAGACTCGAACCGATACCAAATTTTCAAAAAACAAGAGCTTGATAAATTCGTCGGTCCTTTAGGTCCTGGGTAGCTCAGTGGTTAGAGCAGTCGCCCGGGTTGCGAAAGGTAGTGAGGATTTTTAAACATTTTTGGTTAAGAAAACTAATTAAATAATATAATCAACGTGACTTAATTCACAGTGCAATAATTAGTTTCTGTCCATGGGCGCGACCGCCTAACTCATGGACGTAGCCGTAGTCGTAGCTATAACCTACGCTTTATCGATATTCCTAATGAATCTGTTTATATTCTTTTAAAATTAATTGTTTTTTTTTTTAATTTATATATTTTATCAAACATTTTGGTTTATTTTTCTTTTCGAAATAGCATTGTTTGTATCAATTCGACATTTTGTAAATTTCGTTTAACTTTAATAATTCAGCAAACAAAAACAACTAAAAGCATTGATTAAATATGTAAATAATAAAAATGATTAATTTTAAAACAATATCAACAGATTCATGTGTAAAACCTATAAAGCGTAGGTTATAGCTACGACTACGGCTACGTCCATGAGTTAGGCGGTCGCACCCCTGGTCGGTTAAAATTTGTAGATCCAAAATGGCTGCTCCTTCAAAATTTCGGCAAGCCTGTACCCCAACACTGGACACGTTAATATAATAATGATGATTACATATCACTCCATTAGAACATCTCACCTTGCTTCGACTCCAATTGTGCGCGTATCTCGTTATACTGTTCAGTCATTTTCTGCACCAATTCCCTGAATTTTAATATCGTCGCGTCCCTATCCATCATAGTCTCTAGAGCTGCCTCTCTCTCTCGCACCGCCTGAAAACGTATTTACTACTGATCAGATGTTGTTCACGACCTAAATACCAAAAAGTACTTATTAGGCTAAGCCAAATCCAACCAAAAAAAGCACTTATGCCAAGCCAAATCCGGTTCGATGGTCCATGAATAAATCATAGACAAGAGTGAGGGTCCATTTAAAAACTGACCTTTAGCCATAGAATTTCTTTAAAGTAACAGTAAAAAGCCTTATATAAGGAATCGCAAATATACAATTAAATATAGAAATGAGATCAAACCGTGATTCATAATTGTATAGCGCCATCTGTTATCTCAAATTGAAAAAAAAATCGGGGTAGTAGTTTCGGAATATTGTTTTTCTTTGTATTAATTACCTTATATCGTTATGTTATATATAACTACATATATTTATTGATTATTTTCAATACATTTATTATATATTTCATTTATATAAAGGAACAATTACTTCATCATCATCATCAGCCTTTTTGCCGTCCCCACTGCAGAGGCTCAGGCCTGCCTTATGGATGGTTAAGGAGGATGGGCCATGACCCTTCACGCTGGCCCAATGCGGATTGGAGGGTATCAACGACTGCAAATGCAGCCGGGACCAACGGCTTAACGTGCCTTCCGAAGCACGAAGTAGCTCGAGATAATAATTTTTCGGTCACCCATCCCGTGACCGACCCTTGCGGAAGTTGCTTAACAAAAACGATCGCGGGCCGCGACGCTTATCCTCTACGCCGCCGAGCTGGTTTATTGGATATAATCTATGTAAATCCAGAAGTTCCAGACTTTCCACTGTACCAACTGTTTACCTCTCTAGTTGCAGCGTGTGCCATCTCCAGTTCCTCGCGCAAGTCCATCTCGAGCTCCCTGTTCGACTCCACCAGCTGTTCGTGGACCTCCTGCAGCGCTTCCAGCTCTGAAACGTCTTGCTTCAGTTGCTCAACCTGCCGATTGATAATTTACCAACGTTTAATTTTATAAAATTGTATATGCATTCGACAATATTTATATATATTTTAAATATAAATAGAAATTTTAAATGGTAACAATAAAATACTTTCTCAGAAGTTTTTTCATTATTTGCTTTTCATTACATTTTAAACTAATGGGGACATTTTCGTCATCGCTCCTCTTTACCATATATTTTTTATAAGTTATTTTTAAATGAAAACATATATTGTGCAAAAAATGTACATTGAATGAGGTATTAAAATACATACAATTTTAATCATTTAATCAGAATGTGTTGAAAATTATAATTTAAATTCAAATCAGATATTTACGTATTGAAAGTTTGAACCTTTCAGTATATTTACACACACACACAATTATTTGCATTAATAAAATTAATAGTTTTTTACAAACTCTCAAAAGTAATTGTAAATTTGGAGTACATTAAAAAGTGAGAGCCGCGACTGTCACAATTTTTAACACTTATTTTAAGCCAACTTATAAAATTTTATATCTATTGTGTACTGTTCAATATAAATACAAAAATATGTTTAAATACATAAAAAAGGAGTATAAAAATGTCCCGTCCGTCCCCATTTATGGTAATGTACCCAGTACCCAGTTGTCTGTACAATACAGTATAGTACAGTCCAGTACAGTACAGTACAGAACAGTTGACCGTACCCGGTTTACAAAAAAATTTGATTTGCAAAAATTTTTGATTTTATTTCCGATTCATATTCTATGTATATGTACTTCTATGTTCTGAAATTCATAAGTCACTTTACCAGGAACGAGAATTCGATGGAAAGCTTCGTAGGGATGCATTGACGCAGGCTACCATGATAATAACAGACAGACATGGAAAAATATTTCCATATATGCAGTTCAGGACAAGATGACCCAAGAATAAATGGCCAGTGCACCCACTCATAACCTTGTACACTTGTTGTATCAGAGCAAACCATGACCACTTTGTTCACGGCTAAAGTGCACGATTGAGTAGTAGCGTTTCTATACTACATTCCTAGAACAGGTGAACAACACACAACGACCTAAAATATTACGTAAGCATTGAAAGCAAACGATACATATCGGTATCCATAGATATTTGTATAGTTTCCGCAAAGAAACGATAGAGTATAACTAACCTGGTCTTCCAAGGCCATCTTTTTCTCTGCCAGCTGTTCGACCATTTCCTCGGCCCCGAGAGCTGCGTCCACCTGCTCCCTCAGGTCTGCCACTTGGGCTTCCAATTCCTCTACTCTTGAGGAAAGCTTCTCTTTTGTGCGGCTGAGTTCAGCTATTTCAGACTTATATTGTTCCAGGTCCTGAACAGATCAATTTTACTAGAAAATTACGTTAATTCATACAGTTTCCTTTTAAATTTTATACAGTTTTTTACATAATTAAGATTATTTTTGATGACCTCCGTAGCAGTGTTTCGCACGCAGGTATCGCCATGTCAGAGGTTCCACGTGCGGTTCCCGGTCCGGTCAATGCAAAAATGAACTTTTCTATATTATCTCGAGTCGGAGTGTTATGGTACCTTCGTTGTCTCTGATACTGCATAATACGAAGACTTTAGCTACTCTAATTTATTTATTATAATTTTATAATATTAGACTATACTTTATATAAATTTTATTATTAGGGGAGCAATAAAATTGCCATTACTTACGCAACCATCAATGTTATGGTATATTTTTGCTGCCCAACGTTTGTCTCCTATTCTATACAAAGTTATATGTCGACAGTAATATTTAACAAATAATTATTTACACCAATACTACCCTTGAAAGATAAGAAGGATCATTTTCAACCTGTCATAAGTAGAAGTCATGTTTTAAGTATGATCAGCCAGATTCATTTCTAGTCGAACATATTCTATAAAGATCTGATACCTTCATCATTTATGTGTTATATGCTGATTCATTTTTGGTTGCCTGGAAGATATTGCTTTTTAGCGATAAGGCCGCCAATTGTACTGTTTATTGTTATTAATTGTTATGTTGATTTTATTTTCAAGTACAATAAAGTGTTCATTCATTCATTCATTCATTCATTCAGGCCTCTACTATGATAACCACATAAGGAGATCTCATCTGATACTTAAGTTGAATTCGTTAATTAACGCCAAGATTATATAATGACCCTAAAATCATACTGATCATGTTTCCCCAGAGTTCTGTCCATAATTCTTACCTAAAGGACCTCATCATCACCCCTTTTACGTCCATTCCTTATGGATGGTTAAGGAGGATAAGCCATAACCCACCACACTGGGCCAATACGGATTGGAGGGTATTAACGACTGTCTTTCGAAGCACTGAGGAGCTTGAAACGATAATTTTTTGGTCACCCATCCCGTGACCGACCATTACGAAAGTTGCTTAACTACAACAATCGTGGGCCACGGCGCTTATCGACTACGGCACAGTACTAGTGTCTAAAAGTCCTCACCTTATGCATTTTCTGCATGGCGTGTTTATCGTGAGCGGAGAGATCCCTCAGACGCACTAGTGTGTCACGAAGTCGGCTGTTTTGCTGCTGCAGCTGCCTCATCTCGTAGCCGGTCGCCTCGCCGGTCGTGTACGGATGCTCTGTATGCACACGTCACGCATGCAGGCCCTCTGTCTGTCTCTGTTACTCTACTCAGTCAACTACCGTCTACCTTTACTCTACTGAGTCAACTGTAATCCACCTATATCGCTTAAAATCCCAGTGTCAATTACTATTTATCTATGTATGGTTATCTGTATATGGTCGGTCACTGACTACGTTGAGTCAATTATCATGTACCTTTACCACCTCTGACCCTACTGAGTCATCTGCGTATGTCGCCTACGATTCTACTCTCTACTGTGTCAGCTATTGTCTGCCTAAATGGCCTGTAAACCTATTAAGTAAACAATCTTGTACCTTTACTAACTCTGAATCTACTGAGTGAACTATCGTCAACATATATGGTCAGTGTCACTACTGAGTCAACTATCGTCAAAACATATGGTCAGTGTCCCTACTGAGTCAATTATCATCAATATATATGGTCTATGACCCTACTGAGTCATTTATAGGCAACATATATGGTCTGCGATCCTATTGAGTCAACTAACGTCAACATATCTGGCCTATGGCCATACTGAGTCAACTATCATCAATATATATGGTCTATGACCCTATTGAGTCAACTATAGTCAACATAAATAGTCTGTGACCCTACTGACTCATCTATAGTCAACATAAATGGTCTGTGACCCTACTAAGTCAACCATGTTAACATATCTGGCCTGTAGCCCTTAAACATTTCAGTTCAAATTAGTATGTATATCCTACGCAATATCTTTTATCTAATGAGCGGGGAAATGTCACTCAGACGAAGTTATTAGTTAGATCAAACTTGTTTTGTTTACCTATAGTTTATAAGAGAATGAGAAGACTTAAATTGTCTCCGAAGATTTTTTTTTTTTGTATCAAATAATTATTTAGATGATTAATTATCTAGTGTCGAATACTGACTGTATTTTAATTTACTATTTAATAAATATGTCATAACTCAAAGTCTGCAGCTAATGGTAAGTAAATTTTCCTATATATGTGTATGTCTGTCAAGTCCAATATTTCACGCAATAAAAACATTGAGAAAATACTGTGATCGTCGCGGGCCTTACAAATAACACAAACACAAAATATCACATGCAATAAAACGATTGTGGAAAGACACATTCACTGCAAAATTTTGATAAAAATGTATTTCAAAATGAACGACCAAGAAGAGAAATTAATTATATATGATTTAAATTGGTAGGTATTTTAATATATTAAAACCAAAAAACATGAATGCTCTTTATAATATCATGGCGGGATTGTACTTAGTCGTCAGTTATTCGTCGAATCATTCTAATCGAAAATTATAATGATCTCAATTTATCACCGATATTCAAATTAAGTCAAATAAGTGTGCCCTGTGTACGATAATAAACTGAAAATTGGCGTGGGTGCACACCTTCATTTATAAGTCCACCATTAATGTAGATAAGAACTTAAAATTGGCTTCAACAAAGCAGTGAAAGTGCATTTAAAAATGAAACTACAAATTGCATAATATTAGTATCAACACATTTATAATAATAATGACAGCTATATGAATAGAAAATGCCAAAAATAAATTTAAAACATTTAATACGTACACATAATAGTTGTGTATGAACTTCTACAGAAGAAATATATAAAATCATTATCAATATACATACATATATAAATAATAATACGCATCAGTTCGAAAACGTAATTCTTATCATAGAACAATTGTAGTTTCTGATTTAAAAAAGAATACTTTTGCTTTGTATGAAATCAGAACTGTTATAGCTAATAGTAATTGTATTTTAACTATTAATAGTTATTAACTCTTGTTTATATGATAGAAAAATATCTGTTTAACTAATGACCAGTGGTCGGAATTAGGTAGAGTTATTCATGTACTTACACTGATTTTATACAGCGAAAGAATAAAGTGGATATGCCTCAAATCCCGAGATTAATTTTAAAGAACAGAAAAAATCCCGTGATATTTTAAATAAAAAGTTATTTACTATTACACAATTGAAACTACTGCACGCACGACGTTGCCAAACTTACATCAATGACATCGGATGTCCAAAGATGTCCAAGATTGTCCATTAGAAATCCCGGGAAGGTCCACATTAATATCAACATTTCGATGCAAGTACATAAATAACTCTACCTAATTCCGACCTCTGCTAATGACATTCTAAATTAATTACTTCTCTCGATAATTACGATAGTAAGTCTAAAAAGTAACATAAGAAAGTAATTTTGTAAAACTGACAGTAAACCAAAAATTACTGTTAATTTCCAAAAAAAAAAGTTCTATGTTTAGAATGCAGTTTGGAAAGATTTTTTTGAAAAATATATAGCTTCATTAATAAATACATATAAGCAATGGCTCACTAATACAAGACAAGACGGGACATACTGACAGAATCCGCTTACCAAATTCGCTCGGGCATGACGCTTTTAAATAAATAATAAAACATTAGACAATATCACATTGACACATGTTGCTGTGAATGTACAAATAATGGTGTATTATCAAGTGTCCAAAATTCTACTAAACTTCTTACTTATTTTGTAAGCCTTTATGCGATGTCAGTTAAGTTGAAAATCAACTGTGACAAATAAAAAATATTGTGGTATCCCGCTCTACTGGGTTGTTAATTGACCGGCGGAATATTCCGTCAGTATATCAAAATATATGATTAAACTATTAAATCTAAATATATATAACTTTAAAATAATTTGAGTAGTTACGTTAGTGAAAACTAATTAAATTCTAAGCGATTCGGAATAGAATATATTTATATGTACCTGTGACTTCGTATGCGTGTGATTAGAAATAAAAAATAAACTATATTATATTAACATGATCACTAAGAAACTGTCTGATTTAAGGTGGATCGGCACATTTTAATTACATTTAATTAGCCTTATAGTAAAAGGACTAGGCTTGAAATATGCCACTAGAAATTATTATTTAGAACTCAGCACCATCAACTGGGCTTCTTTTCAAGCTACTAGTGACGTTGCACCTTAATTTACTGATTTAAAACGATTTATTCGGTGTTAATTAGACAAAAAATATATATGTTTGCATTAATAATTAGAGCAACTTATATGTAAATTGATACTCCTTCAGTTGATTACTGGTTATGACGCATGCACTAAAATGGAGTCAATATCTATCTCATTATTTGTAAAGGTGACCGCGGTATTTTTGTATTACCTTTGGAACTGTGGTTAATCGCAGTTTCTAACGGTTACTATAGTAACTATATACTATGATATTAAGGCTCTAAACTTACGTATGTTCCCTCCCGCCTCCATCTCCGCCTTCATAAGCTGTAGGTCCAGAGTGGCTTCCTCCAACTTCTCCCTGCACTGTTCCAGCTCCAGCTGTAGTGCTTCCGCTCTCTCTTCGGCCATTTCTTTGTCGAGAGCCGCCATTTCTGCCGCCTCCTGCAGCTCTGCTGTCTCATCATTGTGGACTTCTAAAGCTTCTTGGGCTTCACGCACCTAACATACAAACATATCTCTAATTAATTTGTTATTATTGCGAATTTTGCATTCGAAATACTATCGAATATTTATCTTAAAAACTGGACTCAATTCAACGACTCATACGGTCAGTTGCACAAGCGTCCATTAAGGTTTAACGACGCCTTTAAGCTCAAATTTGGATGGGTAATGTCACTTTAAACTAATGGAAATTATAATGGACGTTTCTGCAACTGGCTGATAGCCGTTAACCGGGTAAATGCTCTTCTACCTGGCTTTCGAAAAGTGGAATTTCTTTCAAGTACCTATCTGTTACCTCCGCTGCAAGTTAGCGTATTTCTACCAATGTTTTACATTCGTCGATCACCGGTAGGTCAATTGGAAGAGAACTTACCCGGATAGCGAGAGATGATTGGTACTTGTATCACCTTTGTGGATGAGGCAATCCATAATGTTACACTACCCGCTGCACTACAGTGATACTACCCGCTATAAATACCATTGCAAAGCGCAGTCAATTCTCATTCTTCATCGATACATCGTGATGTACAGAAATTTGGGTAACGGTTAGCAATAACAGTGTCGCTCTAACTGTGTACAAAAAGTTGTTTAGATTATTTAATTGAAGTAATTGCTGATCTTATTATTGGTTTTAATGCTATTCAATAGTATATTAAGTGTTCTACGTGATATTAATATCTTATTATAATTACAAAGAATTCAGAGACAATTAGTAGAATAATATTTTTTTTCCTTTTTTTCAATTAACATTAACAAATCAAAATTAAAAACTAGTCGAGAGAAGTTCAACATTCTCACATCCCAGGTACGGTTTTATCGCTAATTTTGTTCAGAAATTGCTAAAATTGTTTCAACCGAAAACGTTAATATCAAGTCAGTGATTATATAGAGATTGTAAAGTGGCACTAAACACGCTAGGAGGGCGCTGTAAGCCCAAGTATAGTAACGAAATAGCTCGGCTACATGCTTTTATTTTTTTAAAATTTGTTAGCCATTGTTAATAATGTTTAATAATTTATTTTATTTTTCGTATTTTCCTTCTCCTCCTTACGTCCTTTTTCTCACTACTGGGTCGTGTTATCTATGATTACAAACGGACCCTCTTTCTTCCCAATCTTCTGCTGCGTGGTGTAAGTAAATAAATAAATAATTATTGAAACAAATAACATAATCACCTCCTGCTTCGCCCGTTGCAAATCCCTCTGCAGTTGAGCTTGAGACTCCATGATCTTCGCCTTAAACTCGTTCGCCTGGTCCAGTTGCAGCCTCACTCGTTCCAGCTCCCTCAACTTTTCCCTGTCTTCAGCGCGACGGACCCTCAGCGTTTCTAGTTTCTCTTTCAAATCCTCCACTTCCGATTTAAGTTGGGTTATCTATAAAAACCATTTTCAATAGGAAACAATAATACAACAAGCTTTATCATACAACGTTAATTTTTAAGTACATCTAAAAAATAATGACCTTTTCTGACTCTTTAAATTTAAAATGTTTATAAAATTATTGCTTGTTTTCCAAAATTGACTCTATTTATTTAAAATTTGCATTGAGAATTGTGGATGAAAACGTTATCTTCTGTCTTGTTACGTAAATCACGCACGTGTGTTTGCACAAATGATTTTAAGTTACCAACTTTTTAAAATGTGACTGCACATATATATAAGACATTGTGATACACCTCTTTTTAAATGTAGTTACTCTATGAACTCTGTATAAATAATAATCTATTTAAGGTCACACTTGAGACTGCAATCGCTTTGTTTTTAGCATAAACAGGGTTAATAAGCATCAAAGAGTAATCAAATAAAAATTTAAATGTTTGGTTTAAGGGTATTCATTGTTTTTTTTTTTTTAAGGTATGTAAATAAAATATAAATTTTTTGGTAGTTACAAAAAAGCTCGTGGGTCGGGATTCAAAGTTAAAATTACTGATCCGATCATGAAAATTCTTTCCCCTACGGGAAGCTACATCATATGCGGGTGGCTATGATTTAAGCGAGAAAACAGCTTAAGATTTATATTAAATATTATTTTTTATTGTTTGTAGTATCTGTCAGATAATGTGGTGAGATACTGCCTAAGAAAAAGAAACATTAAATTTGTTTTTTGGAGATATCCGGATTCATATTGTTTATAATTAACAATCTAAATAACAACAGACACGAACGTAAAAGTAACTCTGCATGTGTGAGTATTTGATACAAAAATTGGACCCTGAAAAAGGACATAGGATAGTTTTCATCACAAAAATCCGCCTGATGGAGGCAATGACAACGGAATCCCACGCGGGCAGAAAGGTAATTTAATATAATCTCACCTCCTGCTGTGCCTGCATATTAGCTAGTTTATCTTCAACTGAAGTCACCGGCTGCGGTGATGTTATACTCTGCCCCGGAGTATACTGTGGCGTCAGAGTCTCCACGAATCCGGTCTATAAAAAACAACCGAATTAGAGTAAAAAAAATAACCATTACATTTTATAAAAAAAAAAATGTGGGCGTCGATTGAAATTGGTAACGCAAGCAGATCGTCAGAAGCCGATTCGACAGCGGACATGTTGTACAATCCTTCGTTTGCTGCAAGCTCCGCCCACCGCGCGCTAACAATGCGCGTAGCATGACGAATTTTAGCATGAGACTCGAGAAACTGATCGAATGTGACATATTGTACTGGCACACCCGAGAAAAGTGACATTTGGGTATAGACTAAACGTTGCTAGTGCTTTGTTTTATCACTACTTTTGGCAATGTTTTAAATAATTGTACTCGTGTTATTTTATATAAATATATAAATATCCGTTTAAAAAACTTTTGGAAAGAAAATATCAAACTGAGATTAATAAATTTGGGTTTGTATAAATAATAATAATAAAGTAATGAATTAATTAACATTTCATTAATTGATCTATTACATTTGTGCTATCTATACTTTTCTTTTTCAAATGACGACACATAAGTGTTAATTATACAAGGTTCTCGAGCAATAGCAATTTGCGGGTCTTATAGGACCATCTATTGACAGCCAAAGGTGACGTAACATATTAATTATTCATTGTTGCATACAAACATCCCCACAATTTCCAGAGCTTTTATTCGTAATCATATTTACTTCAACAAAGGAGGCCACAATCTTCGAAAACGTTTTTATGTGTCATATTTACTTCAACAAAGGAGGCCCTCTTCGCCGCGCTGTCAGGTGAAGCGGCCCTTTCCGCGGTCGGCGACACATATGACGTCAGTGATTGACGACTGCTGGCGAGCGACGTGCGAGAACTGTAATGACGTCACCATTGCATGTAAACAAATAGATTCAACATCTTCACGCCAACGAAAGTAGTTCAGCACAAAGGAATCAAACCACAAGGAGTCACTTTCGACAAACTTGTGGATTAATTCTTTTCGATTTGAAATACATACGTACACGTAACATAAATAAGAGAATGACAAGACATGTATTGTGTATGTCGCAACCATCCGGTTAAAACAGTCGTTCAATTGGGCAGCTACCCATTTAATTGGATGGCGCCATTCACTGCATACCTAGTTTTCTAGTTGAATCATTAGGGCCGTTGAACAAGACGGCTGATTTAAAAGCCGCCAAAATGCTCATTTGGTTTAGTTATCTGTTAAAAAATAACCTTTCACGTGACCTACAGGAGCAAGATAACTTCGTTGTTTATCATTATTGTAGCACCAAACATATTAATATTTAGAATTTAATATGTAAGTTTAAGCTTAGTTTTTATTTGATATATTAGTTTTATATATAAAATCAGCCATTACAATACATATTTTGTTTTACTTCTAGTCCTACCAATAAATATCGGTGTGTTAACAGTTAATTAGTTGGCTGACCTTAGTTCAGCCGTATTGAAGAAAGTAGCGTTCAACTATTCGGCTGATAGAAACTCAGCCTTTTAATTGAATGGCGTCATTCAATTAAAGTGGTAGTCGTCCAATAGGCTGATTATACCACTTGGCTGCGACATTAATACACTTCATTGTATGAAGTATCTACATGGCATTTAGAAAATATGGACATACTCAGTTGTGAAATAAGTTTCAGTTTTAATAACATAGACATAAAGCCAGTTGCACAAACGTTCATTAAAATTCTCATTAGTTTAACGCCACATTACCCACACAAATCTTCAAATTTAGAACATTCATTAGAGCTTAAAGTCATCACTAACCTTTAATGGACGTTTGTGCAACGGACCAATAGAGTTGAATACACCGAGTGTCCAGTGTCCACATTTTTGATGCAAGGCAGACAATTATAAAGCTGTGCTTCCGCGACAGGATTAAGATTTAGCTATATAATTTTTTAAAGTGCCTCAACTTATTAAAATAGTTTACACTAGAAGTGCCTATTAGCACAAAACGAAATTAAAGCGATTACCCAGTTAGCGTGATGGTTGACATCTTTCTGTAGTCAACATATATAAATTATAATATATAATTATTAAAATTAAAGAATACTTATTTAAAACACTTATACTTCTTAATTTCTACAAGATGCATACGAGTATGTGTCAAGCAATTTTTGCCATTAAAATAAAATATAATCCGGCGATCTAAATAACAAAGCACGAAATATTACACTAATGACTGATATTTGAGTCAACATACGTCTACAAATATATAAATATGCATTGTATGGATTGTCATACATGAATTAAATATATGTAATATTAAAAATCTAAAATTAAAAAAAAAATTCGAAATCATTTTTAACTACCTGTTTTTTTTTAAGTGCAGGAAATTTATGAATTCTGTCAACTGTCGTTTGACTTTTTGAGATGATTTCAAATTTTTCTTCTAATTAATATTTTTAATATTATAACTTTTAGTGGAATAGAATTATGAGGAATGTTCCGTAATAAAATTGTTATTTCTTATACGAAAGTCAACCAATAGGTACAGGATCAAACAATTTAATCTATTCCAATCAATTTAAAAGCAAGAGCTTTTTTTTATTATAATATCCGACGAAAACTCGACGTATTGTCTCCCTAATTGTCATTTTATAAGTGTGCAACGTGCAACACATAATATATCAATTTATAATTTTAATTATTAATGATTCCATCAATAATTTAAAATAATTTTTAAATCAATTGGTAAAAGAAAATGTTGACTAACTTGGATAACTACCTCATAATAAAGGAAAACATAACCATAAAAATTCTGAGTTGAAAAAAAAATAAAAGCATCAAATTAATACAGCATTAAAATGCAAATTACAACCGTAACATATAAATATAACTTTAACGAAAAACTCACAATAACTGAATAGAGTCGGTTTAAAAACCAAAGATTTTCAAAAGCAATGTGAATAAAGCTCTAATTCCTAGTGAACATAAGAGTGGATATTGCGCAGTGGTATTTAATATACAGTGCACAAGCTACATAATACTCTTCTCTTCTTTACCTGGACATCGACAGAGTTCCAGCTTTGGTCTGCGCAGGAGACGCCTTCCGGCGCACCCTTCGATGGGCATACATAATGTTAGTCTCTTAGTAATTAGTTAAACAACACTAACTTATAAAGCGAAGGTAAATCCGCTCGCATTGTGCTGTATTTGCAATACTAATCTCATTAGAAAACCTTTCTTAGAATATTATTTTTACAGCTCAATGGAGTGGTATTTTTTCTTAAAACACTGAGGAACAAAAATAAAGACCACATAATATAACTGAATTTTAAAAAGTTTATATAATTATTAAGGAAACCAAACATCAGACATGGCTTAAATAGATTAAATCCCTTTGCCTTTAACTAAACTAAGAGAAAAAAAATATTTTTGCTCATCTCAGTGTCTCATTTATATTATTATACAGTTAGTCGATAGTATGTTTATGCTGTTACAAACACTACAATCGTTGATGACATTCACATCCGCATGCACTCATTATAACTTACGCCATTTTTCTTTTCTCAAACTGTCACAACACATTATATATATATATACGAGACTTATCGTGTCTTATTTGTGAGAAACTGTCAAAACTGTACTCATATGAATATATGTATGTGACTTTAATAATCACAAAAGCTAATAAGATACAGTAAAAATTTGGTGAAACCTATTTTAAATATTTAGATTAGATTAATATTTAATGATTATCGGTCAATAAAAAATGTTGAATTGAAATCGGTACTGGGGTTGCTGTTTTCAATAATGTACCCTATGATTTGAATTACATTAAATCCAATCCAAATCCGAAAAGATTATGTTGTAGAAGTCTAAACAAAGACCGCCGTGGACAGGTGGTCAAATGTCAAAATAAATATGCGTACACTTTGACAGTTAAATCAATGAAGGCGAAAAGATAAATAGGAAAAACCAGTAACAAAATTGTTATCAAGTTTTTGACGTGAGAGGTGCAACAAATACCTATAAAATATTATTACTTTATAAAAGTTATTTAAGCGACTGTATTTTATTTATTTCTTAATATTTGGTAAGTAAGCATAGTGGCGACATCTTAAAACATAAGAAAACACTTTTTGGTTGTCTTTTAATGAAATTGGCCCCATGTTAATAATCTAAAAATTCGAATTTTTAATGTCAAAGTCGAACTTTCATCAACATTACATTACCTGCTTTAAAATAATATGTATAATTGATTATCTATAATTTAATCACTTGACAATTTAGGAAAAATATTAGGGTCGATGCACATTTGACTGGCGTATCAACGGAATGTACGTTAGTACGGTCGACGGACTGACGGATCATCCGTCAGAGTGTGCAACAAATGAAAAACGTCATATTATTATACATTAATCAGTTCTGAATAAACGAAAACGTCTATTAGTAAAATGTAAATTTTCAATTTGACTATCAATTTTACAAAATTGTACAGCGTTTTCATTAATTTCAAATGTTTTAGTATAGTCTATAAATTTCGACTTTATCATCTAAGAATACATTTAATAGACCTATTGAATTATTTGTTGTTCTAATTAATTTAAATAAAACCAACTTATTAGAAAACATAATTATAATTTTAAATTACTTTCAGAAAATAAAGCACTCGTTTCCACTATTCCATAAAATCTATTGCTATCACAACTTTGTTATATTCTACCATCATTGTTTGCACGCGACTCATTAAAAACCTTAACGACTGAACAATAAAGTCGAAACTCAACATGACTATCACAAGACAGACACAGAAATAAAACGCTAGAAAAGGTGCGAAAGCTCTACAAGCTGTGCTTCTCTACACAACAGTACTCACGTCGTGGGTCTAGGCCTCTGCGCCACAGTAATACTAGCAGGAAAGAAACAAACCGTTAGGCACACTCACTCTCTAATAAGTAATAACATACTGATGTCTGTACTTCAACACTATAAACGATGTACTTCAATATGAAGTACTGCGATTATAACAATATATTTATTAATTTATTATAAAATATATTATATCTGAATTATTGAATGTTTATTAAATGAAGCCAGTATAAGATGACATTCTATGCCCCTTCTAATATTGTTAATAGTACTGGAATACAGACAGTCTAATTTAAAGTAAGTATAAACTTCAATACACCTCTAAAGAACTATAATGATGAAATAATAAGACCCATCTAATTGCCGATTTCATTCCCCGCATTCATACCCATTAAAGATGAGACTATAGGAACTATATAATAGTTTACAGTACAACTATTGATTTATAATATCACTGGCTAATAATAGAAACAAACACAACTACCATTTAATTTATGTAGTAAAACAGTGACATATCCATACAATAGGACAGATATGTACAACAGAACAATAAGAAGCTTGATGTAATAAGTGTAAATTATGAAATAGCCGCCATCTAAATTTGACAAATTGTTGGCGCAATTTAAAGGGGTACTTCAAAAGACTTCAATCTGACAACACATAGGAGTATTCTATATCGACACATTTCACATAGTATGTTTTAACATTTACAGTTGTCAACATACACTGTACATAATAACCTCTTTACTTGCGTTTTGTAGTGAATGTATACTGTATACCCTTTTATTGTATGTTGCATTCTGTCCGGGCTCGGGCTTGGAGTGAAGAATTGTGGACTTTATCAAAAGAATATAATTTATGAAGTCAAAGTATTATATTAAATGAAGTTAATGCATTATATTAACAATAAAATTCAACTTTAAAACATAATATCAGTAATTGCAAGGACTAGGTAATATGATATTTAAACTGGCAAGGTAAAAAATATTCTTGATATTTAATTTTCATAAATACTGATTTTGTCAAGTAAAAATAAAACTTTGCTTACTGCAGTTTAGTACAGTGCATTCAGAGTATATTGAAAAAACAGGATAGGAAAAACTTTATATTGGAATATTGATCTTTCTTGTCAGATTTTTTTTTTTACCCTGAAGTCATGAAAGTCAAAATAAAAATGTGATATTAGTAAATATAGAATAAAAAAACATGCCAACAACAACCATGTGTTTATGATTTCCTTCTACCTTATACCATCTTAGAGGAGACATAATTAAAAATTTAAGGAAAAAGTGCTACCATAAGATAACTATGAATAATGCTTCAGTTGATTTTATTGAGGGAAGTACACTCACTTTTCAAACCTTTTCATTGTATATTGTGCTCAATTCCTATGTTGTAATGTTCATAGTAAGATAAGAGATGGCCAGATGTTTTTTCTTCTAACAAAACTGAACTTTTCAGGGTAGACATTATCGTCAAATTGAAAAATTTACTTCCCATCCAACGCAATGTTAACTTATGATTACAAATAAAATACAAAGCCAGTTCGAAACCAAATAAAAACCAATATTAAATCATATTGATATACATATATTTCATTAACATTTAAAGGCACACACCTGCTGAGTCTCCTGTTGGCTGGTATTGATTTCGGTTCCTCACTAGAGGATGTCATGGAAGTCTCCATTGGATTGTCATCAGCATCTAATAGCTGGATCTGTGACTCGCGCACAAACACTCCATAGTTCTCTTCACACTTTAAAAATTAAAAAAAAAACTTTAATAACTATAGGCATATCTAAAGAATATCTATAATGAAACAAAGACTAACAAGAATCATGAAAATTTACAACTGTATGTTGCAATGTTGTTGCAGGACACATGTTGAGTACTAATATCTATATAAGAATTAGTATACCAAATTATTTTCAATGGGGGCAGCCCTGCCCTAGCTGGCTATGAGTGAGATGGATAGGTGGAATACTTAACCTGGAACCTGAACATGATGTACCCAAATACTCTTGCAGCTTAATATAAAATTGTCAAAATTTCTTTATGTTTGACTAAACAGATACTTATGTATAAAGACTTTTACTTTTGAATAAAACCTCATATTTTGTATCAGTTTTGCAACAACATTTCATTTAATCTTAGAAGGTGCCTGTCATTGTTGATTGACATTTTCTATTGCACTCGTGGTTACATTAATGACATTGTTCCAGTTATACATTGGATTACAAATTAGCTAAGCTGCGCAATTTAGCAACATAAAAACTAAGAACATGAGATGAGAGTTAGATCTTCTTAGATAACAACATTAAATTTTTCTAGCAAATGTTTCATTTGTAATAATTTGCTTCATTACATACAATGATAATAATTAGTTAGTTTTAATTACTTTTTTTGAGAAAGGGAACTTATACAATCCATTAGTGATTGTTTGTGAATAAGATTGTAAACTTCACCTACCCTAAAATAGGTATGTCCTCGAATTGAGCCATTATTTTTCCCCTTCGGCACATCCAAAATCACTCCAATCCATTTACCAGTGGCAAAATTCGGGTAACCAACGTATGCCACTGAACCCTTAACATCTTTAGCCGTCAAAATCACACGCTGACCAAGAGTTAGTTTACTCGACATCTTGATAACTGATAAACACCTAAAAGTCCTGTAAGTTCAACAAAAGAATTGTTTTAAATACTTTAAGGTTTTATAATTTTTCGTAATTTCTCACTGGCTGCTTACTTCTAAAGAAAGCTTTAAACTTCTTTCCATTCGTTTATTACAAAGAACACGTAAGCAATTAAAACATCATATCTTTTTATTTTGTTATTTTCTAGATTTTTTAAATGAAAATACAGTAAATATAAATCGGTATGTAATTGGAAATATTATTACGATGACGAACTGAGTAGAATATAAAAAGTAATCTGACAGTGACAATTGAAAATGTCAAACTATAGGCTTAAGGAATTACTAATCAATACAGCTTTAAATATTCTTTTTATGATACTTAACACCCCTTATAATAAATATTATTTCATCATTACTTTTTTTTACTTATAAAAGTGATAATATTTTCTTAGATGTAGTATAATTGAAGTGAACAAGGGTAGTACCTACTTGTAACATAACTTAACGACTTCTTGTATTTTACGAATTGTTTATGTAAAAATTTATAAACTTTTGCCTACAAAAATAATTTGATTATTTTTAATCCTGGCTTTTCTTGTGCTGAATATGTACAGAGCCCGGTACTAACCAGCTCGGTTGTTACGTGCCATTTGCCGATCATCGTGAAAAGTTGAAAATCTCTAACATGGAGTTGTATTTGTGGAGGTACAGAAAAGCGAGGGAATTGAATGTAGCGCGAATGGAAGCAGTTATTCCCACTGTTCTATGAACAAAGTTTAAGATGGACAGTTTTCCACAGAGTACCATTTAGTCGTTCAACCTGTACATTTCCACGAGGATTGTATGGCTGCAAGATATGCAATGTGCGTATAAATATTCATTTGGCTCTGCATAATAAATGCTGATCCTCTATCGGTGTCTATATTGAGTATAGTTCCGAAAGTGAATATTAAGTCCTATAGGCATTTGATAACCGTTGCAGAGGTCATATCTTTACAAGGATATGCAAATGGAAAGCGACTAAACTCGTCGACGAGATTAAGTAAATAAATATTTATTACACACGGTATAGTTAGTTACAGTAAGTAAATACGTATTCGGTGTACAAGATGGTAAAACATCAAGTTACATTTAGGTTGTAGTCCTAACAGGACTGATGAATCTTTCAAGCACTTGTTACTTTTTCGATACTAAAGAGCATATTCTCAATATGAGAAAGCTACTTTGTTCGATAAAAATCCGAAAAAAATAAAAAATACAATCACTCAAAATATATGCAATGAAAAATGGAAGTGGAAATGTATCGTTCAGAGGGCTGCTGTCGGGATTAGAAGCGTCTTTTTTTGTTCCCTCTTCATTACCAAGCTAATCACGACCACTCTGACAAATGTACCCGACTAAGAAGAAGTGAATTATTAATTAATAAGGTTTATTTTTTAACTAACCTACGTCACCCTCGGTATGTATGTAGTGGAATGACTTAAAATTACCCCCTGCAAACAAACAAAGTTATAAACTTTACCTCTTTATATTATTAATAGTCTAAATTTCTTTGTTGTACACCGCTGCAATCTTTTTAAACAGACTGGAAACGGTAAGGTGCGCTAAATAAAAAATATATTTACACTTATCTACGACGATCTGAATGTTTGCAGCAAATATTTTTATAGGCGCTAAAGTATAGTTCAAGTCAATGGCCTTGTAGATCATAAAGAATTACGGAAGCAAACACCTCAATAATTTTTATTTCATATTTTAACACGTTTCTGAGTAAACCAATGTTAAACATGAATGTTTCATAGATAATTTAATTAGGACATAATTATCTATACCGTAAACAATTTGTATACACAAACTTCCTCATTAGATGTAGGTGTACATATCGTATTGTGAAATAAAGTACAAATGCTTATGAGATATAATTTACGCCGAGTGACGTGGTTGACCTCAGCCAGCGTCGCCAGTGCTGTAGACTCGCGCTATAAAAGAATACGTGACTCATTCCTTACTTGTTGGTAACACTAAGCCTCATGTACAGGTTATGAAATGATAATTACACAAATCATTAGAGCTATTTGTTGATCATAAACTCGTCTATAACGACAATGAGTATAACAAATAATATTGGATTATTGATATCACTATTTTTACATTTTATTTGTTGAAAATTCGTCAAGTAATCTGCTATAGTAAATACCCATCACACGAATTCTATAAGGAAAACTATGCCTGAGAAAGAGTATAAAAAGTTAGAACAGATTAGTGTCATCGGTCTTCGCGTGGTGCGGCCACTAGTACAATAAATTTGTATTTAACGATTTCGCAACAAATCAACCTACTTTCGCTAGAACAAATCCCGTTAGGTGACAACGCGTCTATATTGTAGTGAAAAAAAAATGCCACATTTTATAAAAACATATTTATTATTTCAATCATTACAGCAATTTAAAAATACAATGTCGTAAAAAAAAGTGATTATTTACTCTTTCGTTCAGCTTGCATTTGCAACTAAAGACGAGACGGCGTCGATAGATCAGACACTTTATTTATTTATACATGGGAGTGAAGGCACGGGAAGGAGGCCTAGCCAGCCGCCAATGCTTTCTCTGTAGACGTCAGTGCTTTCTAAATACATATTCGATAAAGGATTACGCGCACGTTCTCATATTAATAGAATACTATAATGATTTCATACTACGAGTTCGAGTTAAGGCTTAGAAGCCGTGCACCTTCAGCTGTTCGGGCTTCACGAGCCCGGATTTGGTGAGCCACTGACAAATGTTTTCGCGCTGATCGCCTTGCAACTGTAGCACCTCGCCGTATTCCGGATGCTCGACAACCGTTCCGTTGCACGCGAACTCCTTCTTGCATGCCCGCACAATCTTCTTCAAGTCATATTCCGACGAGAGGCCTTGTACCGTAGTCAGCGTCTTACGCCCGCTCCGTTGCTGAATCCGGACGTGGACTAGACCATCTTGTACGTCGTCCTCCGAGCTTTTGATAGCATCGGCGAATGGGTCAAATGTGTTGAGATTCTGGATGGACATACGATTGAACGTCACTTCTCTTTGTTCCAACGAAACTCTGCGATACGACGCACGAACACGAACAGTCGATGTCACTGATAAAGCGCGGTGATTTGCACGCAAACGACCAATTTACACTAACACCAAAACGTAATGGCGGATCGGGCCGAAAAAGAATGTCACGCGGAGGCGGAAATTATCGACCGAACCATAGACAAAATAACTACAATTTTTGTAAAGGTGTCTACTCACATATATTTACGGAACTTTACCGATTTTACGCAAATCTTTTTATGCATTTTAACCTTTCAATTTTGCGTATAATTTAGGTACATAATCATCATATTTAGCGACATAAAAATTTCCAGCAATCGGAATACCTAATTTAAATTGTTGCGCAAATTTCGAAATAGAAAATTTTCCTCTTTTTTCTCCAGAATTATTAGGCAATTTTGGGACTTTCGAAAAATCACATTTGCCTTGTTGCTTGTACAGTAAAAACACGTAACGATGTAGACCTGTGCCTTTTGGTGGACCAGAGCCTATATAATCAGATAATATTTCACTTTTGTTCATATCGTTTCCAAAAATATTTCCTACGAGCCAGTGGTGCCATTCTCGAAACTTTGGATTTTCACGACTCGGCGCATCTGGGTCAACCATAGCCAGAGTATAATATTCAGACTCTTTGGATGTCCATTTTACAACTGGCTTATCTTTTACTTGAGTTGGAGTTAATTCCTTACCCATATCAACGTTAACACCACTAGAATATTGTATATCCAATATCTCAGAAGGTGCTGTCGTTAGAACATCCGGAACAATACAGTGTTGCTTGAATAATGTCTGAAGAGACATGCCTCTAATATTTTTTAAGTTACAGTTGTATATATTATAAAAACAAACCAATAATACAGTTTTATTACGTTGCTTCTTGTTCTTATCAGAGTCTAAAAGAATTCAAGTTGAAAATACATGACAATCACGAGCAATGACACAACCTCTATTGATATAATTATGTCGTTGCTTAGTGACAGAAATACATTTATGAAAAAAAAGCATACCATTCATTAGGCGAATTTGATATTGTCTTCATTTCAAATATTGTGATTTATTTCTTAACAAAACTATTACATTGATTTATACAAACAAAATACATTGATCTACATGAAGTGGATACGACACTTTCGAAAAATCAGATGTATTAGGATGTCTGTACAGTAAAAACAACGGTGAAGTCCTGCCTGTACCTTTAAGTGAACCCGACATTTGTATTCTGTAACTCGTTTTTAATAAATTACTGATCTCTGACCAGTTGCTATATATTTTTTAATTTAGATGAAATCATTAATTGCAGTTCACTTTCATCGTCATTAATGCTTACAGAATACGAAATAACAATTTATCGATAGAAGATCAAGTGTCAAAATGCGAATTTCTCTATAACATATCTTAGCACCTAGACGACGCGATTGGTCAGATATTGCCATCCTTTTTCTTAAGAGCGCAAAGGTTCGCACCATAGAGAAGAACCAGTTTGAAGGTTTCCTGAGAGCATCTTATAAGGTTAGTTAATGCCTCTTACAGCCAGTTGCACCAACGTCCTTAAAAATGTCATTAGTTTAAAGCGATGTTACTGATACAAATTTGAAATTCATTACGTAATAGGGATGATGACTAATTTTTGTTTGTTTGTCCGTCAGGTAGTGTTAAAAAATATTAAACACGTATTTTTTTCGTAATCATAAAATTTCGGCGTTACATGGAGTTGAAATTTCGCATGACGTCACGTTAGAGTACGTTTTCTACTCAACTGTGACGTAGCGAGCCCCCACTCCTCAATTTTAATGTTATCTAAGCTATTTCTTGTTAAATTGAAGTAAAAAAAATACGTATCTAATATTTTTCTATTATCTGACTGACGGACTAAATAGAATGGCATATTTTTTTACCCAGTCATCATCCCTATACTGTCTATAAATAAGGATCAGAAGGAATAGGAGGGTCTGGAATTGTAGAATTTGGTGAAGGTGGATGTTTGCTTTCAAGGGCTATAAGATTTTTCCGGAATATCTGGTGATACAATATCATCGGAAAGTAATAGTCGCGATGCGCCTTTAATATCACCTTCACTTATTTTGGTATCTTCGTAATGAAATACTGATTTTGGTTTGGTTCTATTGGGTTAATTTGACTGAGAATGTGTATTTGTTTTTGACTGTTTTCTTTGATAATAGCTGTTAGAGATTTTTGGTTTTTAGTATGGTCTGAAGAAGCTTGAATTTTTTTGTGAGCAAAGAATAGATGTTCCCAGGCTTCATGTGTATTTTTTGAATAAACATTTTTTTAAATTGTTTTATTTAAAATTGAAATTTTTAATATGGAGTTTGTAATTTTATAATGTCAATATCACCAAAATTGTGAACTATTGATAAAAAATACTATGACGAAGCATTGTTAACCCCTACTTATTTTATGTAGCTGAAGATTTATCTAAATCTTGAAACAATACTTATGTAATGCATCACTCTTTATTCCTGAATCTGTTCCTTTTTCTTAAGAAAATAGAGTAATGCTATTAAACATCACAGTATCAAATCTACTTAAAAATCTATAAAAAAATGACAACGATGGTGAGGAATTATAACACAAACCGATATAGTATTGAGTAAAATTCCTACGTGGTATGGTCGTACTTGCTTGCATCCCTGCCAGGCATACGTAAAATATCTTACGCCGATTATACGATAATTTGTCCTTTACATTTGTTCATAGCATGATCTAAATACGAATGATCGACTCGAGAATCTAGATCTAGAACAATGCTGTCTTACAGGGAAAGTAACAAGTAGAATTTGTGAAGTTGACAGCTTGTTGAAATCTCAATAACTCATCATAATCTATTTCTTATTATAACGTAGTCGCATTGTATAATATATGGTTTAAATACTAAATCATTAAGACTTAATAAACAAAACTGTTAAATCATAGGCAATCATTCAGTACATTATTCAACGTTTCTCAACCCTATCAATTGTCAAATTTCAGAGATAAACGTTACAAACTCAAAATATAATCTGTGAACTCAAATAAGAAAAAATAGACTATACAGTAGTGTTGAAAATTCCCGAGTTTCAGGAAGTTTACCTGAAAACTTGCGAAATATAGGAAGTTTTAGAAGTTAAAGCGATTTGATCTTTTAATGTTGATTTGACATTCTTATTGAGAAATTTTATAACTCGGTTAAATTAACGAGAGAATCTACTAAACTCACTCGCGTTTGTTGTATGGGAGCCCCCTTAAATATTTATTTTATTCTGTTTTTTAGTATTTGTTGTTGAAGCGGCAACAGAAATAGTTCGTCTGTGAAAATTTCAACTGTCTTTTCACAGTTAATATGGCAGTTAATAGCTTTAGTAAAATAACGTAAAAAAATGCAAAATTTTTAAGGAATTTTAATGAACGATGAAAACGCCCTATTATATATTGTCGTCGCAACCAATAACAAGTTCTATTTACCGGCCAGCATGTGACGTCATATGTAAACAGGAAGATGTCATATCTAAATAGTGTTATTAAAAATACGCAAAAATTGTATTTATACATAGAATTTGTAGCTCATTTTTATAAACAACACCAGAGTAGATGCAAATAAAAACATAAAATTTATCTTCTTTAATGCTATTCGTTTACTACGTAAATTAATAGTTGATTGATATATAGATTATGTTGCCTTGACAAGTATTTACCGGCGTGTGACGTCATAAATACCACGTGATCAGCGCCATTACATAGAGCGGCGTTTTTAGCGCAATTTTGACTATTTAAATTTTAACAATTATTTTCATCAAAAATAGAACAGATTCCCAGGAAATATATTGACAGTGTTTAACAACCATTTAATATAGTTTTTAGAAAAGGTTGTTATTATTCTCAGTCAAATACTCTGTTAATAACATACACATAACAGCTTGCATTCTCGCTAAAGAAACTGATACTATGTCTTACATGCTGGATAAAATATAACTTTATTCTTTTCTTAAAAATATTGAGCAAGTTCAAATCCTTAATATCTTTCGGCAGTGAATTATACAACTAGTCTTAGAGAATACTTCTTGTCATTCATAAATTTCAAGGCATTTTATTTAAAAATAAAAATTAATGTATGCAACATGTTTGCACAGCACTCTAGCAAGAGCAGTGACATTCCAATGCCTTTGGAAACTTTATAGTTCTATACAATAAAAAGTAGTGTAATAATATTTAATATAACTTTTATATTACATAATCTAAAAATCAGATGTTTATTTTATACCTATAGAATAGTTAATATTGTAGAGCAGCATTAATGTTAGCAGATAACACTCAATAACAAAGACTAAAGAACATTAGCATGTAATGATACAAGTATGAACTTAAGTGAGAAACATTCAATATAGAGCTGCTGTATACACAAATCATCAGCAATTTGTTTAATTTTCTTATTAACATTATTTATAAAGATTAACCTATTAATTAATAGAAATCATCCAATTTAATCAAATTATTAATTCAAACCAATCATTGCAGTTCATAATATTTAAATTTTGATTTAGAGTGAAGAAACAAAGCCAAGACTGTTCTTCAGAGCATACTTTAAAAAAAAAAAGAAAACTTTTAATTCATTCAGTTATAAGTAGCAGTTCTAATCTAGTCCATATATATAAAACTTCATTCTATATATAGTCTTTTCACATGGCATGGGTACAGTGACATTTGGGATTTGAGGCTTTTAGTGATGTGGTAATGAAAAGATATTGACGCTGGAAAGCAAACACATAGTAACCCACACAATTAAAATTGTTCTTTAGAGTAGAAAAAATAGTTAACTTAGATGTTTAATTTTGGCTTTTGATAATAACACTTCAGCATTCAACGGTTCCCTTAATTTTCTTGCAACATTATCAGATTTTAATTGTAAAACGACATCTTGTGCACTGCGTAACCTCTTTTTTAAGTCTTCTATTCTTTTACTCCTTTCCACTATTTCATCTTCATAATCTTTGCTCGCTTCATCCATTTCAATATGCGATATTGTCTGCTTTGGTTTGAAGCGATAACTGGAAATTGTTTCTAGTTGTAGATTCAAAATTCTATTTTCGATCAATGAAGTTTTCTGCTCATATTCTCGACACATTTTTCCAAAACGTTTGCGAGATTCGACCACTATGTTCATAAGGTTCTCACATTTCTCTTCTAAGGAAATATCTGTAAGAATAAGTATTAAAGAAATGATTTAAATAAATCTGTTATTCAATTAAATATAAGCGAATTAAACATGTTCTTTTATCTCACCCATTGTACTTTTAACTCTGTAATAAAAGCCACAGATCACTAAATAAATAAGCAAGAATGAAACTGTAATATTATCAATGTTTTCAGGAATTGAATTTCAAAACACAAACAGATTCTCAATCACCAACTGCCAATCGCAACCGTCATTTTTTTTTTTTTTTTTTTTTATTTATTGTTTTAACGGCACTGGGTTCTTGCCCTTTTTGCCAAACTTATTATCTTACAATCAGTTCATTATAAAACAAGGAAAGATAAATCCATGCACTAAATAGTTAAATTAGTATTTTGTATATAATCATATAAAGCTTTATAGCATCTTGTATCACTGAGGAGCGTATGTAAAACTTCACTGTTATTGTCAAGAACATCACTGTCACTGTCACTATTTAGATTTGTTACCTCACTCGCTAAAATCAGTCTATGAATTTTAAAATCTTGCTGTTGGCATTTCAATAATAAATGATTTAAATCGGCACCTTCTTCGTTACAATAAATGCACTTAGAGTTGCTGATGATTTTCAGTCTGTGCAGATGGGCAGGAGTTTTGCAGTGGCCAAATCTCATACGGCAAATGGTGGTAATTAGATTGCGGTTTATAGATCCTTTAAGTTTTGATGGATGGTACCACGGACGAGCGGGCAATGTCTTCTGTATGTCGTGGTACCATTTCCCCTTTTCTAATGCAATTGCATGCCAATAGTTGGTCCACAACAGTTTGTGGGATTCTGTTAGGTAGGTGTTAAAGTCGGTGTACGGTACTTTGCATATCTGACTGTGGTCTTCATCAGGCTTATTTCTGGTGACTTCATCTACGATTTCGTTCCCAGTGATGCCATGGTGTGATGGTACCCACAGAAACTTGATACTTATTCCCTTATTTTGTAATATATATAGTTGGTTCTTTATGTACAAAATTAAATAATTAATGTTATTTTTAAATACCTTACTTTCTAAACTATTTAGGACACTCATTGAGTCTGTTATAATAATAAAATTCTTATTTTCTACAATATTATCTATATATAAAATTGCTTTATATATTGCATAACATTCAGCAGTATAGATACTGCAGCTACTATCTAATTTAAAACATTTAGTTTGTTTTAGTTGAGGGTCATATAAAGCTGCAGTTACATTATTTGTATTTTTAGATCCATCAGTATAAATTTTATATTGAGGTATTTGTTTCTCAAATAAATCTAATAAGTCATTTTGATGATTTATTGTATGAGTAATTATATCTACTTTAATATTTATAAGTTGTTTGAGACTAAATTGGTATAATACTAAAGGGTTACAGGTAAATATATTTACAGCTTTTTCTTTAATGTGAATGATAATCCTCAATAACTCTGGAAAATGCCCTGTTATCAATTGGTTAATATTAATATATGGGCCAACTGGTAGTTGTTCCTGGGGTAGAATTCTATTAATAAGTGGTTTATTTTCTGTGGCTATTAATTTGAGACAGAATTTTTCAGCAATTTTTAATCTATGCAATTTCAGTGGTGGAATACAAGATTCACATTCCATTGCATTTATAGGAGTCGAACACATTGCACCAGTAATAATTCTTAGTGCCTTATTTTGAATAACATCGAGTTTCTGTAACTGTGTACATTTGGCATTCATATAGGCAAGACAGCTGTAATCAAAGTGACTACGTACTATGCTTTTGTATAACATGCTAAGTGTATGGGGATCAGCACCCCAGTGAACACCTGCCAATGATCTAATAATGGTCAACCCTTTATTAGCATTTTTTGAAATATATTTAATATGGCTTTCAAATGTTAATTTAGGATCTACATACACCCCCAGAAATTTCTTTTCAGACAGCCATGGAATGGGAACACTATTATATTTAACATTGTTATCACAAATATTTGATTTTTTACTAAACAACATGGCACCACTTTTACTAGGGTTAATTTTTAATTTCAATTTATTTTCATAAAAATTATGAATCTGTATAAGGCCTTTGTTTAAATTATTTACAGCAATATTTACATTTTGATCTATAGTATATAAAACAATATCATCTGCAAATTGAAGAAATTTGATATTTGAATTTTTTAAATAAGTGGTAATCTGGCTGGTGTATATATTATACAACAATGGTGATATTGTTGCACCTTGCATGGTGCCTTTATATACAGAATTTGGACCATGAAGAATGTTATTATATCTAACATACATTGTTCTCTCAAATAAAAAGTTAAATATCCATTTACATATTTTTCCAGGAATTCCAGATTCTGATAAAATATGGACAAGTATTTCAGGATCTACATTGTCAAAAGCTCCCTGAATATCTAAGAAAACACAAGCTGTATTTGAGTGACTGAAAAAAGAGTTTTTGATATCGGTTATAAGGGAAATAAAATTTTCTGTTGCACTATGACCCTTTCGGAAACCAGACTGTTGTACAGGTAATTTATTGTTACACTCAAGATACCATTCCAATCTTACTTTTAACATATATTCAAATATTTTTCCTATGCAAGATGATAATGCTATGGGTCTATAAGAATTATGATCATTTATTGGTTTATCTGATTTCAAGATGGGTATGATACATTGTGTTTTCCAAGAGTCTGGGATTTCTAGTTTATTCCATAATAAGTTATATATTTGCAATAAAATCTCTAGGGCATTTGGATGCATATTTTTCAATACTTCATAAGTTACATTATCTAATCCTGGGCTAGTATTTTTTCGACTTGCTAGAGCACTTTGCAACTCTTGCAATGAGAATGGTTCAGATAAGAAGCTATTTGTATTATTATCATTTTTATTAAAGATACTAGTTAAATTTGAATTATTTTGTGAATTAGCTGGTGGAACTGATGGAGCATATTTTTCTATAAATTCAGGAATCCAATCATCTAATCTAAATTTATTTTGAATACCTATGTTTTTAAATCTTTTCATATAATTCCAAATAATGCTAGTAGGTGTATATCTGTTAAATGATTCACACAACTTATGCCAACTAGTTCTCTTTTTCTTACGAAGTAAAAGCTTTTTCTGTGCATCAACTTTTTTGTACATAATGTAGCTCTCAATGGTTCCATCAGATCTGTATTTATTTAGTGCTTCTTTGCTGAGTCGAACTGCATTTAAACACTCATTATCCCACCATGGAACTGGATTTCTCTTAATATAGTGAGACTCTTTTTTAAATATAGGGATACATTTTTTCATAAGATCTATCAATTTATTATAAAATATGTTGTATGATTCTATAGGGTTACTATTATCATAACAAAAATTTGAAAATTCTTTTTCTGTTTCAGATTTGAAAAGAGACCAGTCTACCTTATGAAATAAGAACTTCTCACATGGTGTGCCAACAATGTATTTATCTATTGAAAGTTGCAATTTGGTGATAGTTGGAAAATGATAACTACCCATGGGATCATCATGTACTGACCAGTCACATAGAGGTGCTAAAGATGGACTTACACATGTGATGTCAATAGCTGATTGTCGGTGATGAATAGTACCAACTGTAGTAGGAGAACCATTATTCAAAATACACAAATCGAACTCATCAAGAAGATTATAGATTTGATTTCCTCTAGTGGAAGTTGTATTACAACCAAATGCTATGTGATGAGCATTCAGATCACCTGCTAACATTATGGGCTTAGGAAGATTTTTCAAAATTTGTTGTAATATATTTATCCTGAAGTTATTGTTTTTACCTGGTGGAGGGGTATACACAGTTAGAATGGTCAAACGACCCCTACATGTGACTACACTGATAGCTGTAGTTTGTGTATGTTCATAATATTTTGTTGGTATAATATTATATTTTAAATTATTGCGTATTAATATACCAACTCCACCATGACCATCAGGTCCATTTTGAGCTACAAAGTTATAGTTTTGAATACTAAAATTACTTCTATCTCTCAACCATGTCTCATTCAGAAGACAAATGTCTATGTCCTTTTCATTAATAAAATTAACTAGCAAAGGTTTTTTAGAGTTTATACTTTGTACATTAAATTGACATATATTAATAAATTTTTTATCCATTTTTAAGTTTGTCTATTAATACTTCTTTAATAACAGAAGAGGTCAACTTTCTTGCATCATTCCCCAATGCTACTAGTGTACCTACTAATCCTTTAAGAATTATGTCACTTTTTAAAACTTCATTTAGTAACTGTTCAGATGACATAGGTTCATAAGAAGTAGTAGATTTCATAGTTTTTGCGGGTAATGCCGGAAATGTAGAATTATAATTATTCATGAGATTATTATCGTTTTTAGTAATAGCGTTAGCGTAAGTTATTTTATTAGTTTTTTCCATAATTTTATGTTTCTTAACAGGACAATCTCTCGAAATTGCCAAATGTTGTCCTCCACAGTTAATACATTTTTTAACTGCTTCACTGTTACATTGAGAATAATGATGTTCTCCTGCGCAAATAGAACACTTTTGAGTGGAATTACAAACTTTAGCTCCGTGATTAAATTTAAGACATTTATAACATTGTAATAAAGGAGCTATATATTCGTAAACTTTAAACCTAAATATATCTAGGTATACATAGTCTGGTAAGATGTTTGTCAAAAATGTGATACTCACTGATCCGAAGGGCTTTACAACTCCGTCAACAATTTTTTGAAATCTACGAACAGTTACAATTTCATATGACGAAGATAGTTTCTTAAAGAGTTCCTCATTTGAGATATTAGTGGGTACAAACCGAAGAACACCGATTTTCTCTACTGCTCGTGCTGGAATGTATGCTCTGAAATTGTGGTGATTGAGAAAACCTTCATTTTTTAGAAAATTATTTGCATTGTTTGCTTGTGAGAACGTTACACCGACTTTATTAGCGTTAATGCGTCTTATATTCGTTACACCTTTAATTTCATTCTTAAATAGGCTTGCTAATACTAGGGGATTCCTGTTGCCGATTTTCTCCTTTTCTACAAAAACACAGAATTCTTTTCCAATTGCATTATCAGGAAATACTCTCGTATAACCTGATTTACTATACGGTTTATAAAAATCTTTGCCCATATCTTTAGAATTAATATTAGTCTCATTTTCTACACTTTCTCTCAGTCTTTTTGTAGGACGATAGGAATCGACCCCGGGGCCGTCACCCCCCGGGGTTTTATTCATTTTTATTATTTCTATATCACTAATTACACAATTACACTAAAATGAAATGAAATTATTTAATATGTACAGTATTTAAACAAATTAAAATTTATCTTTAAAAATCGCGCCCTTCTTTTTCAAAAGCCCGCCAAAAAGTCTCGCAACCGTCACCTTTTTTTTTAGTGTTGCCCATAGAGTATATTATATAGTAGTTGCCAACTTGATGGCGATAAAAATATGCCGCAAAAAAGGCACTAACCATAGAGCACACTAGAGCGAGCAAAGTCCACAAAGGTAAAGTCACAGCCAAGAAGTTTATATATCTTTCATTTTATCATAAAATCTGCAAAGTATATTGTATCACTACAATATACTTTGCAGATTTTATGATAGAATAAAAAGATGTATCAGTGCCAGCCCTTAACAGTATTTACGTAAAACGTTCATGCCTTGTGTCTATTCACACATGTCACTTTTTTGTTTAGATTTTTTTTTTTTTTTTTTTTTATTTTTTTTTTTTTTTTATTTAAATAGTGATTCGTTAGACAGGTAAAACATGGGCAATACAGACAAAAAATAAAATTAAAGAAAGTAGTTGTCTCTTGGTTCTATTCAATAATATGGAACTAACAATTGCTTTAGCGTAGCAAACGATTATTTTCTGTTTTTGGTTTCCTGATTATGAATTCCGGTTCAAAGACTTTCATATGAACGCCAGGTTTTTCCAATCTGAAACCAACGTGTGCGTATCGGTGTACAATGTGAACCAAATAAAAATAGTACTGTGAAACGGTCATCTTGGTTCACATCACTTGCTCTTCAACTTCAAAATGTAAAGAGTACAAAGATTGAAAAATAATGTTTTTTTTATTTAAAAATAAGAATTTTATTTAAAAAAAAAAAGTATCTGAACTTCTTGATCGTAAGTTATCTGTAATTTAAAAAACTCTAACATGCACTATGCCCGAATGAAATGAAATGTGAAATATTTAGTTGTGTTTGATATATGGAATGAATTAAAAATTAAACAAATTTGCACATTTATTAAATTTATTAACTTTTGCTATTGCAAATTAAAATTTGTAATACAAATTTACGGAGTTACAATATGAACAGAAGTTTTAATCATTCTCATAAACTCCTCAACGGAAATCTGCAAAACAAAAAACAACTTATATGAAATAAAACATAGTTTAAACTTATATGGATATTAAATATTAATTTCAATGGCTGTGTTTAATGCCATAACTGAATCGATAGACGAATGAATTATTAATATTATTAATCTTGCCATAAATAACGTTACACTTTTTTTTTATTGAACGTAACATTTATTACTTTTACAATGCGTTTATTAATACATTAATATAAAGCCATTAAAATACATTATTCGAAGTGGTCTCCAATGACTGCAATACAGTAGGTACTTTAAACATTGAAAGCAGTTATCAATAGACGCACGCACTTTATTATCTTCTCGAGAATGGTACCTTGATACACTTGTGCTCATGTTTTGTTGCCTTTTTCATATAAATATGGATTGGTCACTCCTTTATATCTAACACTCAAACAAACCATCACTGAAGTCGGATAATACCCACGTTGGACTCTGTTGACTGATGGTGAAGCATCTTTAGAGCTTTGAGCATAAATACGATTATTTTGTTTGTTAAAATATTGCTCAAAGAGGAAGTATTTAAAAAAAAAACAATAGTCCTCAAAATCAAACTAGATGTCGTTACGGTACTTTCTTGATTTCTCCATGACAACCCTGCAGGTTTTCTTTCATGCGTAAAAGTAAATTAATTTTCAAAACTCAATAAACAAGTCATATTCTACTCGTATTTGTACTTTTTCGTATTTGTATTGATATCTATGTTTCGAACTTTGCAAATTTCAGTTTTTTTATATGTTAGGTAAAAGAAACGGAAATTACTAATTTTGGTCCATTCGTTTCCTGTAAAAATCAACTTTTGCTAGAGTCGCCATCTAGTGGAGGTGCATTTTAGTGCTTTTTTTTAAATACCTCCACATTACAGCGATTCGGTTCTCTTTATCACCCCACTCCATTATAATATCACCAAATACTCTATAACGTATTCTCGTGAAAATATGAAGAAAAGTCAAATAATCTAAAAAGAATTACGGATTCGAAAATCAAAAGTTATATTTTATTTATTTTTAATTCAAAAAATATTTATGAAATAAAAACAGGAAGTAAAGGCGGCCCCTGCTGAATCTCTTGTCAATTCTTCTCGGTAGATTTAGGAACCGATGGAAGAAAGAAAACAAGTCTCTAAAAAACTTTTTTTACGAATCATTTTAATTTCTTGAGCCCAGTAAATACAAAGTGGGCGCTCAGTGTTTTGATTTTCATTGTCATAGATACTTTTTATAAAAAAATGTCAAAAACAAATGTGACTCGAGTTGACTCGGCGAGTTTCGGCTCTAATATTTGCTAGCCTTTCAGGTTCTATTTTCATTCGTTTTGAACGACGAGAGATGGCGCTAATGTTCTAATTGGATTTTTTTTTTGTATTGCATGAATTGAATTGTATTGCACTTTAATGTTAAAATAACACTAAAATATTAAGTAAACAGTAATTATTAAATTAACTTACATAACCGTCAAAATCTTTATCAGCGTCATCAATCATTTCTTCAATCTCTTCATCGCTTAAATGTGTTCCTAATATCTGTGTTACACGTTTCACATTTTCAAAGGATATATACCCTGAGAATTGCACAATACATCATAAAATTTTATATATAATTAATGTTTTGCCCTGATTCACAGAAAAAGGAAGAAAATTTTTAATAGGTGTGATGCAAAATCAAATTAGTCAGAAGCGCTACAAACAATGATAAATTGTATATATCTCAGTCCAGTGGCTTGTTGGTCGTGAATCTAGTACTAAAAAGGTATTTGACCTACCACTATCATCCATATCAAATAACCGAAAACTCTTCATGATATCGCCATCACTATCCAATGACATAATTTTCCTCATGATGGCAGTTTCGAAGTTTTCAAAGCTAAGTTTACCAGTGTCTCCTTTGTCGACGCCTTGAATCATTCGCTGGAGTTCTTCTTTGGTCGGCTCATAACCTAACCATTAAGTTAATCATAAATTTCTAGCTGGCTTTACTATGACGTCAACTATTCAAAAGCATGTCGAAGAAATCGTGTTACTCTTACCTAGCGCTTTAATGGCGACACGGAAATCTTCTGCTTTAATTTTCCCTTCTCCTGTGTAGTCTAGTAAATTGAAGGCTTGACGCAGGTCATTTTCCTATAAAATGTTAATATATTTATATGGGCTTTAAATATTTAATACACTTTATTAATTACAACATAAAATGAGTGTTATAGTTTAGAATAATGCTGTACAACAGGCAGCCTAGTCGTTAAACCGCGATCTTTCTTTCTTTCTTTCAGGCAAGTTATTTTAAGGGAACGAACAGGTATACAAAGAAACACAACCCACAAGATTGTGTGCGTATTTAAGGAGAATGCGTTTATTTATTAAGAAAACTAGCTTTCGTATAGACTTCGGGCTAAAAGAACCGGCTAATGGTGATGGTGTTTAAATCTCATGGCCGGGCGACATTGAGCTGTTGAAGAGATATTTTAAATTAAAAGAGACTTCTAAAATAAATATATCACAGCACGATATACACCTTTCGATAGCCTTAGTTTATGCCTTCTGAGTCCGAAGCATCGGAAACAATGACATCAATATAAGGTCCATAGAGTGTAATTTTCGTTATTTTACACTTAACATACTCGTCATAAAAAACTAATATTTTGGAAAATATATTGTGGTATAAACTTCGATTTTAAAAGAAACCCGAAAAGCTAAAAATGGGCCAACCTGTTTATTAATTTTAGAAATTCTATTTATTTTTATTACATCAGAAACGTTTAATCGAAAATCATTCACTGCCGATGAATGACGATTAGTGAAAGCCTTTTTTCTATGAAAAGATGAAACACTTAGTTAAACACTTTGCTTCAAGGTTTCAACTACTACATATGTAGGTCATCATCATCACCAGCACTGATGGGGCTCAGGCCTTTGAATCAAATCCAATAAAATAGAGAGAATGGGCCATGATCCACCACGAGGACCCAGTGCGGATTGGTAGGTATCAACGACAGCAAATGCAGCCGGGACCAACGGCTTAACGTGCATTCCAAGGCACTTATGTAGGTACTTATTTTAAATAATCATTTCCTCACTATCGTGATACAAATGCAAATGTGGAATTTTAATATACGGCATTTCTTCTCTGTATAACTTGAACATAAAGGAAGGGAGACTTATGAAAAATTTTCTATATTCAGGCTAGATTTCGATAGGGAGACAAACTTATAGAAATCGAACACCAAGGGCCAAACAATTATATTTGAAACATTAATAGGATTGAATTCTATTTAAATCTTGGTTTTCACATTTACACCTTTATCGTTGCCAATATTTCAAAGTGCAATGCGTGCTCTACCGTCCCATTCAGGGAACTTGCTGACGTGTCTATTTATTTATTCATTGCATGTATGTATCGCCATCAATGGCGTTTACTTAGGCGTTTATGACAAGACAGATATCATCAAACGTTGACATAAAATTGAATGTTAAGATATCATTACAACAGAAAGGCAAGGGGACAGAAACACCAATGATAATTTTATTGGACTGATTACATCACATATTTAGATACTCATTAGAAAATATAATTAACTTATTTGATAATTATATAATTAATTTTTAAGTATATACTGTTGAAGTTGTAAAGTTTAAGGATATACATATTGTAATGATGTAAGAAATGGAACAGAAAAAGTTAAGTGAAGTACGGATTATTATCACTTAAAGTCACCTGCTCCTCTGTAAGTATTAATCTGGCTTGCACTTCATTGTATTGTGAAGATTGTTGAATTTCGTCAAGTAGTTCTTTATCGGAAAATTCAACAGTCCCAGATAAGTCTGTTAGGTCCATAGTACTGATATTATAGTAACTAGTAGGCTGTGGTTTTACGTTGTTTATAAAATATTGATCAAACAAACCTATTCATCCTTACCTACGTAAAAAAATATTACTCTAATGCTAGAAATAAAAACAATTCAATATTGCACAATATTTTAAATGCACTCAATATTGAATACTAGATAGTTGGAGTTACCACATAAGAAGTGTATGATTAGTTCATGAAATCATGTCAATCTAGAATTAAGACCTTCAGTGCGACGCGGATGATCTAGGCGGATGTCCGTGGCGACGGTAAAATGTACGTTTCCTACAGTCCGTTCAAAAGACGCGGAGCTGCAGCAGAGCGGAGCTCTCACAAGTTTACCCGTGACGGACGCATCGCTTATCCGTGGCGGACGGTCCGCGTCGCACTGAATAGCGTCTTACGCGTTTACACAGTAGTTATGGCTAAGAACTCACAAAACGATTGCCATCTGCATCAACCGCGGAATTGAGAGACATCCTCTCAATTCCGCGGTTGATGCAGGGATGTGAAATTGTAGGTAAATTAATTTTGAACTATTGCGATTTTCTCCTGCCAAGTTTACGGGTATTTTAGCAACCGCAGGAACCGAAAAAAATGCGTAAAAATCAATTCTCCCGCCGCCGTCGGCGGTGGAACTGTGTTTAATTATGGTTACTGCCAAAAATCACTCTGTGAGTTTTAAGCCTAAGGTAATTTCAATTGTATTCAACGTTGAGTTCATTTGATTTTGTCATTGCAAATAAAAAATCGAAGCCAATCAAGGTATGTGGTGGGGAGGCTAATCTTGGATTCAGAACGTTTTATACCTGTTCTGATGTCAGAACTAGTCTAGCGCAAACACTCAGTTCTTTTTCTTCTGGTTCGACTTCTACTTCGATGTCTATTGCACTAAAACTCTCATCGGGATTCATTTTTGTAAATATATTTAAACGCACGCCCAGCAATGTTGGTCAGAGAATATAAAAAAGAGTAAAGCTTTGCAAAGCTCAAAAAACTTAAATCATTGGACCTTCTTGATAATATTCTAAGCTTCTTGCAGTTTTAGATCATAGATACATATAATCTATGCTTGCTAAGAAATTACAATAGAGATATTTAGTCTTCTTGGTTTCAACAAACTCATTTTTGCACATGTGTTAAAATTTCGTAATGTCGTTCAAACAACAGTATCTGAGGGACACTGATCCATTAAGAAGGTGGCTTCATCAACATTCAAATCAAATCAAAATCATTTATTCAGTCTAAACTGTTGCAAGCACTTGTGAACATTGAAACTCTATGCCTTTGTTCATAAACTGGAGATAATTCAGGAGACTTTGTACCGAGAAAAAACTTGGCAAGGACTGTTATTTTCTTTCTGTTTTAAAATATACAATTGTATATAAATTGGGAGGCTTCTGTTAACATCCCAATTTCTTTGGATTTTTCTCTAAATGATGTTTTTGAACTTAATTGATAAATAGCCCTTACCGCTCTTTTTTGTAAATTAATACACTCTATATCTGCAGTCATACCCTACAGCAGAATACCGAACGACATAACGCTATGGAAATAAATAAACTATACTGTCCTGGCAGTACCTACATCTGTGAATCAATAATGAAATGTATGGATGCTATTGCAATTTAAAATCCATCGTTACACCCAAGAAGATTGCTGAATCAATGAACTCAAGCTTTTCATCATACTTATATCGCGTTACCATAAGGTCTTCAAAATACGTTAAGATTTTTAGATTTTTTTTAAGTTCCTGCGCTGGCAACAATTTTTCATTCGCAATAACATAGAGCTTTTTACTCTATGGCTATACTCTATGGCAACAAAGCGAGCGCCATATTTTGTTTGTGTTTTCCGGTTGGAGGTTAACTTCGGCGAAACGACGCCAATATTTCTCTAAAATAAATTAACAAATAAACCAAATAATCATGAAACTAGTTAGGTTTTTAATGAAACTAAGCCACGAAACTGTGACAATCGAATTGAAAAACGGGAGTGTTGTTCACGGTACTATCACCGGCGTCGATGTAGCTATGAATACCCATCTAAAAGCTGTGAAAGTTACACTGAAAAACAAAGAGGAGCTTCAATTGGAAACATTAAGCATACGTGGAAATAATATTCGATATTTCCTGTTACCTGACAGTTTGCCTTTGGAAACATTGTTAATCGACGACGCACCAAAAGGCAGAGGGAAGCGTGAAGGTTTCCCAAGAGGTGGAGCGAGAGGCGGCCGTGGCAGAGGTCGTGGTGGTCGCGGAGGACCAAGAGGAGGACGTGGAGGACGCGGCCGTGGCCGTCGATAGTGTTTCTAGATGTTAAGTTCGATTCAATAAGTCTTGTGATTACACTAAGTTTTAAGAGGTTATGTTGTTTTATTAGGCGTTTATCGCTGAGTGAAGTCAAAGTATAGTCTAATCTCAAGTAAAAATCAGTGAGTCGCACTATTTGCGAAGAATTGCATATGTTCAAGTAATAAAGTAAATTTAACTGTGAAATGTATCTGGAACTTAGATTATGATTATTGACCCTTATCTGTCATTTGCAAAATGCATCTTAAAACATGTATTGTAAAATGATTGAATTTGGAATATTCTTGTCAAGTTAAGGTGTTGGTATGTCATAGATTTACAGTCAAAAAAGTCAAGTTACATTGGCAATATGGTTCAATTGAAGAATATGAACATTTTTCTATTTACTTGTTGAAATAATATGTGTTGAATTACAAGGAGTAACTTTTAGTAATTCTTATTTGTCATTTATGATACAATCGGATTAATTAAACATGATTTATAGAAGTCTTATGATTTCATTATGAAATCAAACCCTTACAAAGCGCTTTTAGTAGTAGTTTGAAAATCAGTCCTCATTTCGCTGATAAATTGGTGAACTTACTGAAAAATAATATATAGTAAAAATATAATATATATAATAAAAATAATAACATAGCCATTGAACATAGAACTTTGTCCTTTTCTATATCCAAGTGTGTAAAAAATATTCCTATAATTTTATTTTAATAAAAGTAAATTAAATAATATCATAAAGGTGTGTTACATATATATTTTTAATTAAAAGTTATATTAGCGCATACACTAACCGTTTTAAAGGTTTTCTAAGATATGGTTAGAAGAAACAGTAAATTCCCATATACTATAATTAATAGATACAATTTAAAGTTGTAAGTGAATTTTACTTATATATGAGTACTATAGATAAATAACTAATATCAAAGTTTTAAAATTTATGTCATTGTAACTGTTTCCATGTTATAATTATTAGATAACTACCATATGTGACAGATGTTAACAATGGCTGAGATTTATTGTAGGACTTACTATAAAAGAATAAATTTAGTTTATTTTATTATAGAAATATGGATTGAGGTAGAAGAGAAGTCTTTTGGTAAAGATAAGGTTTGCTTTAAGTATTACAAAACTTTATTTTTCTGGTAACTGCTTATTAATTTATATGGAGTTTTTTTTATGCTGGATTAAGAGAATTTATAGGATGCAATTTTACCTTATATTTGGGTTTTTTAAATAGCAGCACAGTTGGATATAATATAGGTATAAATGTCGCCACTTTGAATATAGCTTCACTTCAAAGGGTTTTAAAGTGGTTTTAGTTACACTACATGAAATTACATTTGAGGTAATAAACATTTCAAATTATTAATTTACTATTTTTTTGGACTCTATAGGAAAGCTCCTCAATATGTTTCTTGAAATTAAAATGTTTACCCAAAAAAACTCGATAATTTTTTGAAAAATTTCGAGATCTGTATATGAGTATACTGCAAATAAATTATTATTATAGTTTTAATAATTGATAGATTCTAGATATGGACATTTGCATAATATTATTTATTTATTAAATTGTTGGAAGACTTACAGCTATACAATGAAAAATCTTATAAAATTATAATAAAGACAAAAAGCCAATTAAAAGTCCCCACCATTAATAACATACTACCGTAAATATGTATTACAACAGCCTATATATTGATCACGCACGCACACAACAAGTCCCTAGCTATGATAAAATAGGTAGTTAATGGTATATAGGTATTGCATAGTACTCACAAATCGTTGAATTGACAATATAAGGACACATTAGGTAATGTTAGAATGTGTATGCACCTTTACAGCTTGTAAATTGGATCCAGAAGAGAAAGTATAAACTTTGTTTTTTATATATTTAAATACAATTTATGGGATAAGAGCCACTGAAAAAAAACTGACCTGTGATACTTTTATAGTTCTGTTAAAGTTTTATCATAAAATGTCAGTGCTGTACCATTTATGTAGGAAGTGAAGGAATTTGTAAGCTAATTATTAATAAAAATAAGAAATAGGGTCGGTCCAAGTATATTAGGTCCTTATATTAGTACACATATTGACTGTCTAGAAAGGTTGGTAACCTGTGTTTAGAAGAAACAGGAAATTTCCGTTTTCTAAAATTAATACATGCAATTTAAAGTTAGAATGAATTTCGCTTATATGCTATAAATAAATAAGTAGTATCAAATATTGAAACTTATATGATTGCAACCAAGGGTAGGTCCAAGTATGCTTCCTTGTGGCATTCCGGGCCGAAACTGCATTAAGCGCATGCTCCTGACGCGGCACAGAAGTGCCCTGACGCGGCATTTATAGCCTTCTTAAAGGCAATTGAAAAGATAGATTTCTCAAAGCAAAGGTTAAAGACGTGCGAGAATAGGTGCTATTATGACAGGAGCTATACCATCCCATCCAGTAGCGGTGTAAGCTTAATTTGTATTTGTGCTATCTAAAACAAATGAAGCGTTATCCCCCTTTGATTTCTATTCACCAATAGAGATAATGACTGGGTAAAAAAAAATCTATTTAGTCCGCCAGTCAGATAATAGAAAAAGAAATACATACACTTTATTTGCTCCAATTTAACAAGAAGTGGTTTAAATAATAAGCATTAAGGTAGAGGAGTCCCCACTTGCTACGTCACAACTAAGTAGAAATTTGTTGATTACGAAAAAAATACGTGTTTGATATATGCTTTAATAAACCACCACACGGACGGACAAACAAAAATAGGGATGATCCCTTATTTTGCACCGGGATAAGACAATAAATATCGATTTGAAAAAAGATTTTGTTCGTTTACAAATGACAAGATAATTTAATTTATTTAAGTTTTGCAGTGCATTTTCTCTTTCACTTAAAGAACCTTTTTAGGGTTACGTAGTAAACAAGGAACCCTTATAATTTCCGTTCGTTGTTTAGCTCAAATTATTAGTTCTAGAAAGTTGTAATTTGGTATAATTATACACATTAATTAAGCGGACAAATTGATAAATAGTGGCTAACTAGAAACTGACTAATTTGAATGAACGAATGTTTCGAAAAGCACATTCATTCGGTTTTCTAATTATAAATCAACTCCTTTTAAGTTAGATGTTATTCACAAAGATGATAAGCTTTCATTAAGCGTCAGTGAAACAAAAAATTTGGGGTGTCATTATTGATCAGAATTGTAACTGGAAAGCTCACATCAATCATGTTTGTTCTAAACTAAGTAGGTTTGTGTACTCATTATAGGACCCATGTCGACCTGTTTCGAAAATTGCAAGTGTTAACCTTGACAGGTATGTATATTTTAGAAATGGGTATGTGGCGTGGCGACTGATACATAGCGACTAATTCTAATTCATCGCAGTAACATCGCCACAGGTATGCTTGTCATACGTCTTAAAGAACATTTCCCAAAAATTTACACTATAAAAAATCCTCGACTGCGTCTGAGAGATAGTACACTTTTTACTGAAAAAAAATTAAATAAAATGTTACTGGCTCTTACTTTTTTTACCGATTTTGAATTTGGAATGTCGTTTAGCTATTTAAGGTGGGGAAAAAACCGATGCAGATTTTCCGCGAGCTGAAAAGTTTTCCTGTAAGCCGTAACTTCGTCTATCACACAACACAGCGATAAGTTCTCTGCAAGATCGCCAAAGGAGTGGTCGGCCACGCTCTGTGAGGACGCCTGCGATTATCAAAATCATCAGAGAGCGACTTCGCATGTCGCACTCGGTAGAAACTCGCTCTGCAGATTAATATTTCGCGCGTTTCAGTGAACAGAATACTGAAATATGATCTTAAGGTAAACGCCTATAGACGTAAAAAATATCATTTTTTAAACGATCGTCTTCGTCAGTTACGACGCAAACGTTGTCCATTGATGCTAAGGAGACATGATGCCAGGAAGATACTCATCACAGACGAGAAAATTTTTACTGGCGAAGAAAAGTTCAACCGACAAAACAATAAAGTGTACGCTAAAAGTAGCAAGGATGTTCCAGTTTCTGCACGGAATGTCTCGCGCACTCATCATCCGGCCAGTTTGATGGTGTGGTGGGGAGTTTCGTATGAAAGTGTCAATCCGCTCCATTTCTGCCACCAAGGTGTCAAGGTAAAAGCCAAGAATATCAGAGTGACATTTTAGAGCCTCTGGTGAAACCCCTGCCTGATACGTTATTTCACAATAAGCATTGGGTTTTTCAGCAAGACTCGGCGCCATTCCATAAGACAGGAAGCACCCAAGCTCGGTTAAGAGAGAATGTGCCGGCCTTCATTGCGGCGGACGAGTGGCCCTCTTCCAGCCCCGACCTCAACCCGATAGATTATTCTTTATGGACTGAATTAGAGCTCAGGGCCTGCCGAAAGGCCCACTCAAACTTGGAGTCACTGAAGCGAGGGTTCGCGAGGGAACAAGGGTTTGTTTGAAAAGATTCGTACCGCCATCGATGACTGGCCAAATCATCTAAGGCCCTCTATTAAAAATAACTGCGGTCATTTTGAATAAAATATATATTTTATTGTTGATTATTATCTATTTAATAGTTTCTGAAAATTTTAAATATATAAGTTAGTTATTAAAAAAGTTACGCAACTTTTTCCTCTCAAAACTCATGAACACACGAGGTAATATTTTCATTTAATTTGATAGAGAAAAAACACAAAGTTAAAAGTTATCCCTGAAATTCGCTATTTTTTGCATTGCTTTTTTGGACACCTAGAATAGGATCACTTTGTTGCTGTCCGTTATAAAAAATGTTTAGAGGTCGAATTTTAAAACTGAAGCTACTATTATAGTTTAAGTATAGATTTACTATTCAAGTGAGATAACACATGAAAGGGCTAGATGTGCATATTTCAAAACTTATTAGCAGTGGTCGGAATTAGGTAGAGTTATTCATGTACTTACACTGATTTCATACAGCGAAAGAATATAGTGGATACGCCTCAAATCCCGAGATTAATTTTAAAGAGCAGAAAAAAGCCCGTGATTTTTTAAATAACAAGTTATTTACTTTTACACAATTTAAACTACTGCACGCACGACGTTGCCAAACTTACATCAATGAAAGAAAGAAATAAAGAAAGAAGAAATAAAGAAATCCCGCGGAGGTCCACATTAATATCAACATTTCGATGCAAGTACATAAATAACTCTACCTAATTAATAAGACCTCTGCTTATTAGGTTCCACGACAATTTTTAACCGTTCGTTGTACAGAATTCTCGGTGGTCACGCCCGACTCGCAATTGTCCATTTTTGTAAGGAATGTTGATAAATACGTGAATCACTTTCCGACGGACTTATAAAGCCCTTTTACAATAATGTTTATCGGGATAAATTATTGTAAGATTATTTACTCCTGCGTAAACAGCTTAAATAATTTTATAATGTATTCGTTTTCTGATAAAATCATGACAAGTTATCTAAATTAAAGAATGTATAATTCTTTATAATAAATTAATACTACTCATCTAATGTCTTAGAATAATAACTACACAAAAAAAAAATAATAAAAAAATATAAAAAATGTCTCCCAGATCATTGCCTACAGGTAAGGTACCCAGAAGGCTGCGAGTGTTTCCTCTTTGAATAGCTATTTCTTTGGGCGAGGTACAAACCAGCCTTCTGATCACCTGATCTGTCAAAAAGTTTCTATAATTGATTTGGATATCATATGTGACACGGATATAATTTCAACGACAAATTTAATAGTAAACGATGATTACTATGGTATACTTTCACAACATTTTCATCCTATTATTTGCAGTTTTTCGGCATAAAATATAGCATAAGCCCACCTCATATTGTGTAGCTACCTGTAGGTGAAAGAATTTTTTAAATCGTTCCAGTTGTTTAGAAGGACATTTGTAGCAGATGGACTGTAGGCTGGATTTTAAAGCGGGCAGGTAGCAGAGGTCGCAAAGTAAAACACTTGGTTCGGAGAAAACACGGAGAACGTTCGAAGCCAGAACATGCTTTATTGCGAAAAATCGATTATTTAAGTACAATTTGGTTGATCGCACTTATCTCATATATTTGTATATGAGATAAAATACAAATCAGGCAATCTTATTGGATTGCTTAGAGTGGGGGTACGCTACCCCGCACCGCGCGGGGAGGGGAAGGTTTCGCTGTTTCTCCGCTGGCGGCGCTGTTGTCGCGGCGTGGCTCGATGTCTTTTACAATATTCGTTACAAACAAAGAAACAATCAATTATTTCCTCTTTAAAATATTAGTATAGACAACTTTATAAAAAAAGAAGAACTTCGTGACAATTTCCTTGCAGCAATTTCCCTTTATATACTTTACTAGAACTTTACTCTTTGTTTACCATCCATGTATCATGGAATTATATAAAGATTAAATTGTCCAGTGAGAAATGCTAGAAATTATATAGTAAAATTCTAAAAAAAATATCAAATCAAAACGGATCAGCGATAAATTCTAAAAAATAATAAAAATAGAAAAAAAAATATTACAGTCATCGTTTGAGGTTAGTGATATTTTAAATAATATCAGTGCAAGTAGTTTTTGGCTTTGCATAATGAAATGATTTCGAAACATGTAGATAATGTATTTATAAAAAATAACAAATCGAGGAATCGTTTATTAAACCAAGCTGGCTAAAAATACAAAGGAACCGTTAAAATCAAAAGGGTTTTCCGTTGTACCTACCTGATTACCATGACATGCAGCTACCAAACACGAGCGCCTAGGCAGTTGTCTAGGTTGCCTATATGTATTAGCTCCGTGGTACAGGCCGACAGGATCGCGGCGCTCGCTGGGGTCCAACTGCCTAACTAGCCATAGGATAATACATCTTAACGAATGTAATGGCAATATTCGTTTCATTTTAATACTTTATCTTTTCGTGGATTAAAACCAATTTTGTCTAATATTTATTTATTTATTGTTATAACCAATTGAGCCCCCATAGAACTGGGCAAGCAATTGACGAATTTATCAAGAACTTGTTACTTTCGCAAAAAATGTGTTTATTTTTATTAGTTTTATTACTATCGCTTTATTTATAATTTCTTAGTATGACGAACTCAAAAAACTCAACGGACAGCTATGAAGACCTGGAAATCTATAGACCGCCGCTCGACGAGCAGCAGGACATAGTAGACGTAGTCTGCCGCATCGTGGACGAGGATGGACCTCGGCCTATGAAAAATCTGAGGCCAACGAAGGTATGATATCATAATTGCAGACTTGCCTTTAAACTGATAACATCAAATCAAAATTCACTCAACATTATTATTCTATTGAACGTTGAGTGCATTATGATTTAATCCAATATCAACTAATTCGAAGCTGATTCTAGATATTCAGTATGTTTCCGTATATCGTGGTTATACTTTAAAACTTCTAATAAAGCCCTGATTGATATGTCTAGTTGGCAGATCAACAGCCAGCGGGTCGATCAGGGTAAGTTTTGATTGAACAGACCTATCCCAACAAGTTTTTCAATATAAACAATCGTAATTTGTGAAAAGGGAGATGTAATTTGTTGAGGTAGGTGTGTAGTTGATTAAATTATTATCTAAGACCACTTTGTTTATAGGCACAGAACATTATAGGTCAAGTTATTACAAAAGGCCGAACTACAATGGCTTTTAAGCTTGCGGATATTTTTGATTGCAGATATTTTCTACATGTCATAACTAATAGTTGATTTGAAGTTATTAAGTAGGTAACTTTTAGGTTGAGCATCTAAAAGAGCATGCCCCGGTTAACTTTTACCTTGGCCGCAACACTTTTGTTTCTTCTGTACGTGTAGCATGACAAACTCGAGAAACGCTTTGTCTACACACATTTGTCAGTTTCTCGGGTTGAGAGTGAGATATCGTATGGGCGCACCCGAGAAAAGTGACATTTGAGTGTAGACAAAACGTTCTCGAGTTTGTCATGCTACGCGTGCAGGAACACATCGTATGAAAGGCGCGAGACACAAGTGTTACCAACTTAGTCATTTATCCGGATTTATCTATATAAAAAGTTATGTCAAAGTAGTAAAATGAAACGTAATATCGCTGTAACATCTCTAAGATGTCTTAGCCTATGGCTGGAGTCTTAGCAAGGGAATAAGACGGTCGCAGCCATAGAAACCGAATACGGAAAATGAACGTGTGCGAAAGGCTTAATCTAACACTTTCAGGTTAACTCTAAAACGTATACCACTTACAGAAACAACGGAATGCCGCCGAGCAATTCTATTTAGACCACCAAGATGTTTATGAGGCGCGGGGTAAATCGAGCCGGGATAGATTAGAAGCGGTCCACTTACACAATAGCGGTTATCCGAAGATGCACGATGAACTGAATAAAAAGCGATCGACTACCAAGGTCAGCTCAATTCTAATGGAAGATCCGACGGAAGTATGCTTTACTGTAAGCATACTTCCGTCGGATCTAAAGTTTAGAGTAGACTCGACGTACTGACGGATCATCCGTCGAGTGTGTATAATTATTATAAATCCGAATTTACATTACGAAATTTAATGTCACGGAACTAAAAATATATTTCACTAAACTAATTTCGGTACATGTGAAACTAGTTTTGTTATAGCGTGCAATCAACAGATGGTGTTACGACACTGTTTATCATCACCCGGACTCATAGCGCGTACGTCGTGAAATTAGTTTTGCGACTGTTTCTTCAAAAAATGTTTATCGCACGAAACTCTTTATTCTACATTGATCAGCCCGGGAATTGAACCCGGGACCTCAGAGATAGCGTGATTGAAAAAATACTTATTTGTACAATATGTCATCTTGTCTTATATTATTACAATTTACGTAATTTTCTTTTTACAACACAAAGATCAATACTAATGAAAGCTCAGTCATCAACAAGGATTAATACTTATCGAACTGGTATATCATTAATGCGATTACGCCAATTGTAGACTACGCTAATTTAACAAATAATAAACTTTTACAGATTACAGCTGTCTCAGAACATCCCGTTGCGACTTTGAAACAAGCAACTCACAAGCGACACAACACTGGCATTAAAATGGACTCTGTTACCAGAAAGAATTCAAAGTCAAGATATCATACACGTGACACCAGAGGAAGGGCCGGACGCCGTGACAACTCTAGAATAACGAAATCTAAATCAAAACAAACGAGAGGCAGACGATCCTCGTGCAAAACGTATAAAATAATGAAAATAAAAGCGAATATTGGTTGTCAATGCTCCACTTATTATATAGCCAAAGACAAAAAGAATGGCACAGATAATATTGTTCTGCCACCGGGTATTGTTGATAAAATGGCAGTCGACGAAAACTCGTTTCGATGTTACCATTTGAATCAGAATTTAGCAGATGTTAACAGACCACGTACGTATAATGATATGAGTTCGAAAGAGTCCAAACAAAATAATCCAGACACGGAAGGCTCAGTCAGTACGTATAACAGTTACGCGTCCCTTGAACATGAACCAATGATTTCGTAATAAAATGTAAATTTGTCTATGAAATTGAAATAAAAACGTTATCATTTCTTTATTAAGTTTTCTAAATACTTCATTAACTGTAATCAAATGTAGATATTGATTAAAAACTACTGGCATCCCGATAAACGCGTCATCCAGCATTTGTAAAATCTTGGGAACCATGATATGTTTACATACGTATTTAGATGTTTTATAGTTGATTAAAATAAGTATCGTCTCTGATTATTACTAGATAAAAATACAGTACATTTTAAACTGTCTTCAATTGAAGTTTAAAGAAATACCGAGCAAATGCCAGCCTGCTCTCACTTGGTGGTTGACACTGTAAGATCTAACAATTCCTGAGAATACTCCGTGGAGGAGGGAAACGCGTGTAGAGAGTTGATTTTGCGAAATTTGTTGCCGTTTGTACATGTGAATTTGTGTGCGGATAGTACACAACAAGTCTTGCGGATATTGACTGAGTGTGGAAGTTGCTATATATGATAATTTAAATGAAGTCCTCAAAATCACGCCTAATTCTATTTAAAAAATTGTATTTAAGCCGGATTAATATTTAAATCAAACTGGATTTACATTTAAATATCAAATATTAGGACAAAATATATAATGACAAAAGTAGTTACATGAAACTACATTCATTGCATTAATTTCACTAGCAGTTGCACGTGTGAACGTTTACTTTTGAATTAGTTTGACGATACTAGAGTAGTCTCGTGCGATGCACATATTTTTGACGAAACTAATGTCACGTAATATAATTTCACCAAGATTTACATGGTAAAACTAGTGTCGTGACACCATTTGTGCATAGTACAGTTTCGACGTTGACATAGTAAAGTACTATTGATTGCACACTATTACTAAAGTACTTTCAGAGTGAGACTCGAGAAAAGTGACATTTAGTTGTAATCAAAACATTCTCGAGATCGTCATGCTACGCGTGCATTTTGAAGTCGGTTAAAAAATGTTATTTGATGGTTTATATAATCGTCTCATCGATTGTCCTGCCGATGTCTTCTTGTGTATTTTTTATTATTTTCGCTTTTATGCACTTACATAGTCTTAATTGCAAGAAATACCATTAAAATGCAATTATATATAAAAATAATTAAATCACGTGTCCAGCCATTTAGGTTTTGTTTTATTGAATCTTTTTGCTAGGACAGCGCTGTGCTCGACGGCCTGCTTTTATTATAAACAAGCAAAGCAGTAAAGCCAAATTTAACTTTAGATACGTAATTAAAATTAGGATATTATAAGAGATTATTTTTAGATACTTCTAACATTAGACAATTTGAATCAAATTGAATTTCGAATAAATATGGATTCATCATTTGAAATCCAGATGTTCGAGGCCAGCCTTCAGCAACCACTCCTTTCTTTTTTCAGAATCAACCTTAACAATAAATTTCCCTAAGTAACATATGTAAGATCTTTCATTTACCCTCATACACATATTTATTACTCATCGTAATTGATACTAATTAGGTAAGTACTAAAATTACCAAATGACTATTAACTTGCGTAAATATAAATCCATGGCCTATCAAAATACTGCTAAACAAGTATTGCGAAACTAATATATGCTATGCTCTAACCACTGGAGAATTATAAGATGTGTGCGACCTTTTAAACCGGTTGGGTTATATAGATGCGAATAATAAAAATTTAGTAAAAGCCTTCAAGATCAGTTCGCGGTTGTATCGAGTCGCGGACGAAGCGTTGTGAACTCCGTGGTCAATAATACTCCTTTGTGATGTGCATTTAAAAAATCGTGCTCGTTCTTGGCGGGAAAACCTTTTGTGACATAGAGTAAAAACTTTTAGTATTATTTACAATCATGACAACAAAATTAAGACGCCTGAGCGTTATTTTATTATTTTTAAACTTTTTTCAAAGTGCTTTGTTACAAGGATCAGGGGAAAATGGAAATTGTGAGTGTAAAAATATATTTTTTGTTATTTTAAGTTGAATTAATCTACAAATATTCGATATAGACCAGGTTATTATTTATAAACTTATCAATTTCAAAATTTAATATGAATATTGCAAAGATTATATTTAATAGTCATGTAACTTACTGTTTATTTATATCTTGTGTGGTGAGAAATAAATATTTTTATTATTAAATATTATTACATTAAGAATTATTACAAAATTCTGTATCTACGTATTTAATCATTAAATCGGCCATTCATACTATCATTTTTGTTAATAGCGGAAATCATTAAAATTCTTTAAACATTACAATTATCCATTAGAATCATTCATCAAATTGGCGGTTAATGTATATACTCCACTGTTGAGGCTCTGACATTCTCTAGTCTACATAGTTTCGAAAAATGGACCATAAAACGGACCCAGTGCCAATATTCATAGTTACATAATATTTTTATGTTTAGTAGACGTCCTCCGTAGCCGAATGATAAGCACATCGGTACAAGGTGTCGCCATCTCTGAAGTTCGATTCTACGTCGGCTCAATGTATAAAATGGACTTACTATATTTTCTGGCTGTTGTGATACCTTCTTTGTGTTAAAATACACCATAATACCCCCGTATTATAGAGTATCTTTAGCTACCTATTCTTCTTGGAATCTGAGCAATGTATGTGTTGTTTAAAGCTTAATATAAAAAAAAACTAAATAGTGAGGCTTTTAAAAATGTTATATTTACAGCGTTTTCCCACGTCTTCGCAGACGTAAATTATAACCTATGTCAACCCTGTATGATGTAGGTGCCCGTAGGTGAAATAATTTTTAAAATAGGTCCAATTGTTTCGGAGCCTATTTAAAGCAAACAAACAAACAATCAAATCTTTCCTCTTTATAATATTAGTAATGTCACTATCGTAAAGCAGTATAAATAGAATTACGTTTTGGGTATATAAAGCTGAATTGTCCAGGTATTATCTTTGCATGTTTTCCTATTCAGTTGTCTTATAAATTGCATGTTCATTACAATATTCTGAGTGTTTCCTTATAATTTACGTCTAAATAACTTTATATAAAATAGACACCAATTTAGAAACACTACAATATTTGAATATTTCGTTAGATGGCAGCCAATTTGTTAGATTCTTCCGCGCTTTTTATGCAATACGGATGCAAAGGTCGTCAAATCACACATATGGAACGTACATTTTAAAAACAGACCAAGTGCGATTCGCACTAATGGGTCCGTATAATTTTTCCGAATAATTATCTATAAAAAGTGGATTTCTTAAGCAGTTTTTTCAGTATAGCATTGTGAAAGCAAGATTGATCAAAGTTTGGATATATTTATTTTTACACACGTTTGAAACAAATAACAAGACAAATGATTATAAGTGCTTTTAATAATTAATAAATACTTAATTAAAACTTACTTATTATATAAAATTATTTATTTTTTGCGCCTTTTTAGATGATATTTTCTAATTATAACATTACGCTGATGCTTGGTGGTGGTTAGAGTTGGGTTTGTGACGTGAATGTTAGGCAACTTTTAGAATGGGTGACCAAAAATTTATTAGAGTTCGTCATCTAACGAAAGAAGTCCCTCGGATCACAATGTTCGCTTTTATTACAAAGGGATAAAAGTTATGTCGCGGGACTTCTTTCGTGAGTTTCGTTTTACAATCACTTTTCCTTAAAAAATTAACCAGTCACTGGAACCCCGAGATTAATTTTTTTAAATAATTTTCATTAGTTTTATCCTGTTTTCTTAATTGAATACGCCGTTTGGGTTAAAACTAAATTAAGTTTCGACCTAACCTTAGCTGGAACTAATCATCGCACATAGAGCTTCTCGAAAAAAAATAAATGAGGAAAAAATATTCAGTATGATGCAGAGGGAAAATCCCAAGTGGAAGTACGTTGGTTATTATCAATTATGTATTTGTTCCAATACTTCTTGAGATATTTACCTGTTTGTCATCCATCCTGTCTTTTAGGTCATTGTTATTAATATATTTATAGTTAAAAGTACAGACAAAGAAGATTTTAGAAAATAAACTCGATCGTAAAATCATTTTAATAAAAATCGAAAACGAGTTTATGTTGCATTTAAAAGTTCAAGATAAGGCTCTTGTACAGTTTAAGCTTTAAAAGTTCAAGATAAGGCTCTTGTACAGTTTAAGCTAAATAAAAACCAAAACGAACAACTCCATTATAAAATTGTAATCGTTTTAGTATAAACGATTAATAAAAAATATAAAAACTAACTCTGGGTGCAGAAGCTGTACAAAAAAATATCACACAAACCAAGTTACCAACCGGTCGGCCGACCTTGGCAGCGACCACGCACTAGACGGCGTAGGGCTGCCAATTACTAAAACAAAGAGTAGTATTATAATTAGGGTACTAAAACCTTTTGAAAACAAAGAAAAAGACTGACGTGTAAATAACGACCGATTCATTAAATAATTCTAATTTACTTTTAGGAATACCAACTGATGAAAAGTCACGTATGAATCTGATGATTTTTATATACAAAGCTTTCTAACAAATATTTTAAACTACAAAGAAAATATTAGGAAAATAAATAATACAAGGAGGCACATGAATTCATAAATGATTAATACAATAAATTGGTTAATATAAGAAATTGTTTACAAGCAGATGACCTGGTGTACTTCGTATCACTTCCCACCGTTTACCTTCCCTGGACTACAAACATTTCAAAACCAAAACCAGCTAAATCGGTCTAGCCGTTCGTGAGTTTTAGCGAGACAAACTAACTGCGCTTGATTTTTAAATACGTACTAGTGGCCGCCAGCGACTTCGTCCGCTTTTTCCATTATTTCTTCGCTCCTAATAGTTGCAGCATGCTGTAATATATGCATGGCCTAAAGCCTTCCTTGATAAATGGTCTATTCAACACATAAAGATTTTTTCAATTCGAGCCAGTAGTTCCTGAGATTAGCGCGTTCAAACAAACAAACAAACTCTTTAGCTTTATAATAATAGTATAGATAAAGATAAATATTATGAGCCAATTGATATCATTATGCTTCAAGCTTAAACATAATCAACACACGATGCATTATTTTAATATGGAGTAATCAGTTATATTATAATAATGAAGTTAATCAAATTTTTCTTAGGTTCGCTTTGTTTCGGACGCAACAATTTCCTTAATATATACCCATATTTATTCATACATATAAGATACGTAAGTAATATTAAATAAAAAAATAAAGAGGTTTGCCAATGTAATAATTGACAGCCCTGTTAAGTATATTGCGGTGGTTCATCATGAGTATCATTTGTTAACAACAATAAAAAAAAACACGTATAACTACTAGAGTAGGAGGTTCAATTCTTCTAAAAAATATTCGTAACTAGAATCGATAATGCGAAAAATGCTGCTACCTTAGAGTATAGTGGAACAGCAATGAAAAATTTCGTAAAAACGGGATAACGACGCAGGCGAAGCCACTTGCGGAAAGCAAGTATTAAAAATCTATTCATTTTAATAATAAATTCATAAGATTTCAATACAAACGTTTACATCAGTAATTATTTTGACAGATATACAAAAAGCCGCGAATGTGGCAGATTATATTTTCAAGCAACCAGTATACAACCTCCAATACGCACCCTTAATCCGACACATTGAATGCACTCTTAAATATAACAAGGTTCATAATACTTATATTCGAATTTTCCAAATAGTCTACTCGATCAAAAAATAGAACAACGAAACAAACAAAAATTAACAACCATTAAATTAGAAAATGAATAACTACTCAAAACTTAAATTAAGAACTAAAAGTTCTAAGTTATTCGGTTATTCTTTTGACAGTAATACAAAAAGCCGGCAAAATGGCAGATTATATTTTCAAGCAGCCAGTATGCAAACTCCAATAAAATCAAAAACGCGTTGATGTCTTTTCCTTAACATAGAGATAGAGGCATTTCTTTTTTTTTTTTTATACAGTTAAAGCAACTTCTATGACCTTGTAATAAGATACTATCCTTTTTTTATGTGACTGTATTCAATGTAGTCCTTGTTTCGGTCCTTGCCCGCTGTGCTCAACAATGAAAATCAACACTTATTAGGCATGCATTTCCGTATTGTAATTCTATTTATATAACGGCTTCCACCTATATGAAGAGATCGATGGCGCATTAACGCGCCCGGCTGCGATACGGTAGTTACGCAACTTTCGTAATGGTCCGTCATAGGATGGATGACCAAAAAATTCTTATCTCTAGCTCCTCCGTGCTTCGGAAGGCACGTTAAGTCGTCGGTCCCGGCTGCATCTGCATCGTTAACACCCACCAATCTGCACTGCCATATATGGCCCATTCTCCCTATTGGATTCCATCTATAATTCTATAGGGTAGGTCTGAGCACCAGCAGTTTGGATATTAATGGGTTGATCATGATGATGATGAAATAATGGACCATCTTCAATCCAAATACATAGATATATTCAATATTATTAGTAGGTATAGATTCAGAACGATCAATACTTATCAAGTTTTGTAAGCGCAAATAACAGGAACTACAAGTATTCTATGAAGGTTTACGTTGGATTAGACGTTATATTTTCCTGCTTTACTTTAACGGGAAGGTAAAATACATGTAGGCATTTCTGAATAATCTTAACACACATTAATGCTCATGGAAAATGGTTTGTAATGAAAAAAAATGACAATAATTCATTGTTTTATACAAGATACAGTAGCTCGCACAACGATTTCATGGTGTCGCCATCTATCGCCAGTTGGTATCAATAGGCTGTTGACATTTTTATTTTATTAATTAAAATAGTCAATTAAAATCTGAGAAATAACGTAGAAATAACTACATGTTTGCGACTAACAGTTTCTATGTTTGTGGAACTGCTGCCAGTCGGTCGGAAGTGACGTCACGCCTAGCTACGGTAGCGAAAAACGTATGAGTGTCTGGGCAATATTTGTAATGTTATAATTTAATGCAATAT